AATAACGTAACGCCAAGCATTCAGTTTCCGCGCCGCTGGCTCGCCCCCGTATTTCTAAGCTCGTTTGGACTTACACGGGTTGAAATTTCCATTAGACGCTCAGATAAAACAAGTATTTTCAGTGGCCTGAAAAATCGCAAGCCCCGTTGCTCTAAATTGGTGCAGATATGTATTGTATACCTACTTACGTTCAAATCCTAAATATTGTAAGACCAAAATACATAATTTGACATATAAATTTTATTATATTATAATGGAGTGTGTATTTGGTTAGTTTACGTATTAAATTTCCGTGCAATAAAGTAGTAGCCAAGCTTAACAAGGTTGCCGATTAAGCAATGGGCATATAAAATCACGTTCCTAGAACAAGCAGTCAAAGACCTTTTAATATATACTCGCACAAGTTTCCTTTTATGAATATAAATAGTTGCCTGCTTTCGGAAAACACTAAAGACTAAGATTGTAAGTTAAATAAGTTTAAATAGGTATAATTTATAGACGCCATAATGTACGTTATAAATACGTTTAATGTGTTTTGTTCATGCCTGCCCTGAACCGGGTCACGGCCGTGGATGACGAATCGCTACGAACTGTATACTGTGTAATACCTTCCAAAGCTTCGACCGTTTTGTTTATTAAGCTTCACTAGGGCTGCTTGTCTCTAAACAGATTAATAAAAAAGTTATCTATAAAAAAATTCGGCAAAGTTCAATACAGTTATGAGTATACTCCTTAAGAGCACGCATGTAATGACCGGCGTAATTACAAACCATCAGGCATTTGCATATGTTCCCTATCATTATTTATCGTTTCTCAAATACAAAACTCATTCTAAATTAATTTAATGGAAAATTTAAAAATAAGTCTAGTGACTTCACGCCTGATAATCCGAATGTAGCCTCCCATGCGGCCGCAGCTGATTAAGATGCAAGGGTGTGTGTTCCTTCATCACGGTTTAAATCTCAATAACTTTCTCAAGTCAAGGCGGCAACCTTGGCTGGCACGCTACTGTTTCCGTAATTGGATATCGACCACTAACTGGATTAGCCTTGCTGCGTGCACCCGCGGCCCGATGTAATCTAATAACATCCATAACTCGACACATTTCCTTATATCCTTCAATATTTTACTATAGCTACACATTTAAGAAGATTGCTTGTCTCCATTATCAAGTGGTCACAAACGCACTTGCCGATCGAAGCTACATCAATTATTTTCTCGAGTTTTCCTTTTGTTTACGAGTTATACAGAACTGCATTAGTAATTATTATTTCACGCTATCGAGTAAAAGTCGTTTCCGTGTACAAACAAAATATTCACATAGATCGTCGCGTTTTATTTGTTCAGAAATGTTAAATCGACCCAAACTAAAAGTTTATTCCATTCCTTGCGGAAGGTACGCACTGATATTTTAGTTTAGTCATGACATTGAAACTTTTTCAGTTACATATAACCTGAATTTTTAAAGCTCATAAAATCGGTCGGAAATTCCTTGGCTACGCCGTCGGGTGCTACGACAACGTCAGGTGCTACGAGCTACGCAATCTCGTTCCTTGCGTAGCAAAGCAGTTTTGTAAATAATTTACACTTTTTGGTTGCTGTTCTCTTTTATTGACATTTTTCTGACACACACAACACATGTGTCTGAGTAGTGACTGTAAGATTAATATCTTATAGGATTGTCACAACGCATGATTCGGTAACGGCTACAAGTGTGGTTCTGACCATAATAAACCAGTTTCAGTAAAAGTTAAGGTCGTTGCTCTAAACCCGAATATTTATCAATAGAAATAAATTTAAACCTGTTATGAGGTTGTGTACCCCGCACGCGGCATTTTCTCCAAGTGCCAAGTTATCGGCAACTTGCCAAGTCTGACCACTTAAGTAACAAGTTGATGCAATTTAAAACTTGGCCACTTCAAAGCTTTGATGCAATGTTCAAGATGTATTTAAAGAGAACATTTATTGAATATTTTCAACTAGATAAAACTTGAAACTTGTCTTTACAAACTGTTCTTGAGTTTTTATTAGTTTTATACTTTTGCAAGTTTTAGTTGGTTTTGCTATACGTTTTCGATGTCCTTTAAAATTTTGTTGCTGTATTATTTCAATTGAGGTCGGTATGCAAAATGTCTAAATTTGCAAAAAAAACATGTGCCTATCTTATTTCATACACATTAATTTGGAAAACGGCAATTAATATTATGTTATGGCAATATACCTTTGTGCCATATATTTATTACAGGTAGTGTTTCCACCCACGCCGTGGTCACTACAATCTTTTGTCGGAAAACGAATGACCACGTGTGATTGTACATATGTAATATTGGCTTAGGGCTTACAGTATTTTTTGAGGTGGTTAATGTGACTACTTAGCTTCTTGTGTATTTAATTTCATGTCATGATTGTTCACAGTCTATGACGAGTGATCTTTTATTTTGATAATCACAACTTACCCATTTGAACCAATCAAATGATAAATGACTAACGTGTGATGTTTAATTAAGTAATAGGATTTAATGATAATTTAGACACTTCAGAGGTATATTTAATTGACACTGGTGCTTAGTGTGTACGTGTTGCTTGGACCTGTTTAATACAATTATATTTAGGTAATTTGTAAAAAAGTAAGTCTACTGGAAATTTTGATTTTTGATTCTCTTCCATCTATGACACAAAATTATATGAGTAAAGATTATAGCGTTTTGTATTTTACGACGTAAAAACAATATGTCGGAAGCTATTCGTATGCTAATACAGTGTGATTTATCTAGAAGGATGGCACGTTGGCATCCATGTCACGTCGGGTTATGTCACGCCTCTTGCTCTTACGGGATGAACCTCGTCGGCATAAAACATTAGTTGCAGCCTTATACATAATTTAATACCGTAATAAACTATGGCTCACTGCTCGACTCTTCCAGGACATTTTTAGCTGACACACAAATACAAGAATCTGGAGACAAAATCCCAGTTATACTTTGCGCCATCAATGCCATCTTTTATCAGAGTAATATGCTAGATTCGGTTGACCTTGGCAACTGAATGGCTAAAAATGGTGCAAACTAATCACACATAATTCAAAAATTGTCATTTAAACAAGGCTTAGATGTCGCGTCCAAAAAGATTTCATAAAGTATGATCATTCCTAAAATTTGGTGTCCATATTTTAAAGTCAGATTGTATATCTTTACACTTTATAGTAATAGTTTATGATGTTGTAAGTGGTTTCAAATTTAATGAGAATGTGGTGCACGGTGTTTGTGTAATGGGCAATGTTAGTAAACAAAATTTACGACTGCAAAATATCTGACCAATTTATTTATATAAATATCATCATCAACCTACAAGTGCGCACTGCTGAGCAAAGGCTTCTACTAACGAAGAGTAAATTCGTGCATTAATCACCACGCTTGCTCAAAATAGATTGGCGATTAATGCAAACTTATGAATAAAATTATAAGTCCAAATTTCTTCACAATGTTTTCCTTCTCCGTATTTTAGAGATGTCAGCGCTTTAACCTCCGAGCCACCACGACTATACAGATTTGTACACTCAATATTTCCTTATTCTCAATCTTGAGTATAAATAACAAATAACACAAATAAACGACAACTTAATAAAATATTTGATAAAAAGTGATATACATATAATACTATCGTTATGTATCTAGTGCTTATGTAAAGCATATCGTCAATATTATTATCGATGTTCCTACCAGGTCCTTTTGTATGCATCGAAGTATCGCGAGGAAGCATCCAATTTGCATCCATTTCCATACGATGCTCATTTATTATTATAACAAGGTTGTTTTATTAAACTGCGCCGTAGCTTACTGAGGAAATGTGAACACAAATTATACACTTCTTTGTGTATTGGAATATTTTTAATGATGACTTTATGAAGACATTTTTTCTTGTTGCTATTGTAGTCTAAAAAGCTTTGTTTATTTCTTAAGCATGGTAATTTTGCTTATTATTTTAATTATATGATATTTTTTATTATTAATTATAGGACAGAATCCAACCCTTTTAATGAGTAGGTAAACCAGAAATATGTGTGTTAAAAGGCACACACCACACCTTGGCCCCTATTTCCAAAAACTTCATAATATCACTTTTTCGCATTTGTGTAATGCTAATGAATGATCTCATAACATGGGATCTTTGATGCGTTATCAAACAAAATACTTGCCAGTATACACAGAGCGTCAAGGATACTTGCTGCAGTTGATTCATGTGCTGCATGTAGTGTCTTATAAATATTGATGATGATGTTATGAGCTCATAAATCATGTATTTACTTCATGTATTTATCCAAAGCTATAGGGTACAGAATACCTACACCCAAACCTCAGAATACTAATCAACCTTATCAAATGTTTATGACCTGCGAGAGAGCCATTAATCTCCGAACTTTAAAAGGATGTAACGTTTTATAGGGCTGTAACACTAATGGAATATTTATAAGCAGTAAAGGCGTCTTATGGTGGTCACCTAAACTGTTTACAGGGATTTATATGACCCATTTTATCTGAAAAATATATTATGAACCAAGAATAATGGCAGCCTCTAAAAAATTAATCAATATAGAACCTATATCGTGTAACCGATACCCAGTACTGCGTACTTAGCTAATGGATCATCCATCAATGTCTTTATAACATCAAGAAAGAAGAATACACCGAGTGCCACGAGGCTCACGAGCCAGCTGTTACTGACGCCATTATCAATCCTTTTTAGGGAAAAAATATTGATCACAACGCGTTCTTTGTCAAGCGAAGACGCTTAAGCTACATCATTGATGACTCGTCTTTTTTATAAATGTACGTAACTACAAAAAAAATACTAATTTACAGATACAAAAAAATAATAACTTTGTATTACAAGGGCGGTATGGCTTCGCCGCCGTAGCCGTTCGTAGTCATTCGTAGCCGTAGCGCTACGTTATATGTTAAAAGATTTACAAACACTAAAAAGTTGTATTGTTTGCGTTACAGGTAGTGTTGGTGTTCATCCTGAGTATAGCATCGCTCATCATCTACTTCATTGACGCGTCCAGGTAAAACACGTTCCATATATACTTTAAATAAAATGCATCGCTAACATTATTAATGACTTACTAATCTTGATAATGCTGAATTCAAGGAATACGTGAGTCAAAAAACTCATAATAAATGTGGTCGAAACTGTTTGCTGAATAGAGTCCTATATGTAGCTTAATGTTTATTTGTCAGCTGTGATATTTTAGTGAAATAGCTTCAAGTGAACCTGTTCCTAACTGTTGTCGTTGTTAGTGTGTGTGCATGTGCTATATACTTCTGTTTGATTTCAGTGAAGAGGTTGAGCGATGTCAGAAATGGAGCGACAATATTACTCAGCAAATCGACCTTGCCTTTAACATATTTTTTATGGTCTACTTTTTTATACGAGTAAGTTGAATTTCTTATTAGCATTATATTTTTTTTATGGAATCGATTTGTTAATATTTTTATTTTGTTATTTACCTTTGTACACATATGTATAGACATGCAGTCACTTTTGTACAAATACTTAATATTTATTATGAAATTTGAGCCAATATCTATTCATACTGAAGATCAAGAAGCATTTATGTCATTATTTTCAACAAAATTAGGGCCGTTCCATGATGTGTAAAATCAAGAGCGAAAATCATCTCATAAAAGTCTGCAACTGCGATGAAACTGAAGAAACGAAAAGCGTCTGATACACGTTGACGGGTGGACGCCATTACCGATCCTTTTTACGTTTACACCATAAAAGAATTGGTAACGGCGCCTTCTTTGTCACAATCATCAAGTGGAACTGCTGCAGTCGCGCGATTACTCAAGATCTATTTGTACTTTAAGCTTTTGTAGACTGAGGTTATAAAAAACGCAGCGGCTGGTAGTCCGTTGACCTGAACGGCTCTTGTCCATCGGTCTTTGTCTTATCTGTCACCTCTTAGTGAAATTGTAACTTTGTTTATGTTCAGGACTGCATTTAGATACAATCGATAAAAAATTACGTCCTAAATGCAACCTTATTTTATTAAATCTTTCTCTATTTATGTTATATATAAAAGTGATGTATCTTATAGAAAATGTATACCGTGTGTTTATTTCTGTTTCAGTTTATAGCAGCTAGTGACAAACTATGGTTCATGCTCGAGATGTATTCATTTGTAGATTATTTCACGATACCCCCATCCTTTGTATCAATATACCTCGATAGAACGTGGATAGGTGAGTTGTCAATTTTTTTAACTTGTTTGTTTGAGTATGTAAATAGTATTACAGTACAATATTGCTTGGCACAGATTATGATATAATATTATCAAACCTTTTATGTGTCTATTTATATGTAACACCCACTTAATACCCTCTCAATTAAAGTTCAATTTAAAAGAAGGCGAATTTATAGCCATAAACTATATGTAACATCGAACGAATTTTATCATCAATCAGATCAATTTCAAATCTGTCAATAAAAAGAAAAAAGAAAAAGATTCGAACAAGATTTATAATTTACATAAAACAGTTAATAAAATTACAATATTGTGTTTAATTATATGATCTGAGATTTAATGTTTATTCTATCTGTTCCAGGGCTGAGATTTCTCAGAGCTCTACGCTTAATGACCGTGCCTGATATTTTGCAATACCTCAATATATTAAAAACATCGAGCTCAATTCGGTTGGCGCAATTAGTTTCTATATTTATATCAGTGTGGCTGACCGCTGCCGGCATTATTCATTTGGTAAGTGTTCAACGTAAAACGTAGTGTTCACTAATGTTTATGTTCACAATACACCAATACGCTGAACTTAGGAAAGTAATACTTTACTTTACTTTCGAACAACTGAAATTGGGTTCGATCTCAGAAATCACCTTAACCGAAACGTTCCCAAAAGACACAGTATTTTTTATAGATTACGTCGGCAAACGAGCAGACGTATTACCTGATGGCAAGCAATCAACGCCGCCCATGGGGACACCTGCAACACCAAAAACAGTTACAAGAGCGTTGCCGGCCTTTTGGCGATAAGGGTTACGGATATTTTTGGAAAGAGATAGGGGAAGAGGAGAGATTGGGCCTTCGGTAACCACATTCACACGTCGAAACACAACGCCGTGGTTGTTTCACGCCAGTTTTCTGTGAGGCCGTGGTATCACTCCGGTCGAGCCGAATCATGCATGCGTGCCGAAGCTTCTCTTACACTTGATTCCACGAAATATACTTTGTAATTGATTAGAAAGACATTTGCTCATTTATGTTGTTATGGTGTTTCAGCTGGAAAATTCTGGTGACCCATTAGAGTTCGAGAATGCGCAGAAACTGTCGTACTGGACGTGCGTGTACTTCCTAATAGTCACCATGTCCACTGTAGGTTACGGTGACGTATTCTGTCACACAGTACTTGGAAGAACATTTTTGGTTTTTTTTCTCCTCGTTGGCTTGGTAAGTTTCACTTTCATCTGTTTTACTTCTGAATCTTTTTGAATTAAATTTTTAATGATCTAAATTAAATTTAAAGTCAAAATATTTGAAAGATGTTTTTGCAAGGGGACGCAAGTCTCTCAATAACTTTATTTATAGTACGTCTGGAACACAATATTTATTAATTTTCAAGTAATGAAGTAGTTTCATATTAATAACTTACGGCTACTGAGTCGTTACGACAAGCTTGCGGTTCCTTGTACGATGCTAAATTAATAACAAAGCAAAAGGAAACATAACAAACATTTGCAGTGTAACGATTACAATATAGTTGACATGGGACTTGCTAGACAAGTGGTTATCGCACAGCTCGTTGAATGATTGTAAGCCTGAGTAGTGCACCACGAGTAGACGCATGATAGGTTGAGGCTCGCGAGACGCCGAGCGGCCCCGCCCGGGCGGACTCCTCACCGCCCACATGTGCATCTTCTAACTTCCCGGCTTCGAAGGACTATCTTTCGACTATCGCCGACTACTCAATTTTAATACGCTTTTCTTCGAGCGGCTGCATGGGTGTATTTTGTTTTTTCTTTTGCTTTGTTACGTGTTAGTACCGCGAACGTGCCGCCGGAGGATCTGTCTCGCCGCGCTTAGAGTACGGAGTGTACTGGGGACTGGTCCGAACGAGATACGTAGCGCTAGGCGAGCGCGCGCGTGTCTGTCAGTCGCGCAACAGTCGCGCGTCAGTTGCGCTACAGTGTCAGTGTGGCGCCCGCCGCCTCGGCGACCCGGTGCCGCGTCCCACCCCTCCCACCTCGCGATGCATGCCGCACCACGCCTGGCTGTGTTCAGTTGCTCACATCACCGGTAGACACACACTACTTCCTTTTATTTTTATTTCGCTCCGCTACCGGCTACACTTTACGACTCAGCGTCACCATAGAGAGTATACCGATCTCAGTGTGGACATTGTCGTGCACCACTCGATGGTGTCCGCGTGCGATGCGGCCCTCATGTGCGAACGACACCGTGGTCTGTTGCAGGCAATGTTCGCTAGTAGCATTCCCGAAATTATAGAGCTGGTAGGAAGTAGGTCCAAGTACAGTGGCGAGCTGAAGCGTGAACATGGAAAGAGGTATCCGTTTGATAATATAAAGTGATCGTCGAAAGCTCGGGCGCTTCATCCCGTGCCACGCTCGGGAAGAGCCGGCCGAGCTCTCGGCGAGCACGTGGAATCATCACCTTATCAGAAAGCTTGCTCAGTGCCGTCAGATGTATTGTGTCATCTACTCGCGTGCACGCGCGGGTCCAGGCGGCGGGCGGCGCGCGGCTCCTCGCTCGGCGCCACGTGCGCGTGTCGCCGCGGCGAGCGCCGTCGCGCGGCCCGTCGGCTCGGCCGGCCCGTGTTCGCGTCTACCAAGCGTCTATACCGAATGCCCACGTTTTTAGTTTAGGTACCGGTCGAACCGATTTCTTTTTAAGTTCTGTTCATCGATTAGTTAGCGTATGTATCCTTAGGCTTTGCATGCACCCGGTCACGAGTCCCGTCACGGCTCCCGCCGCTAGCGTAGCTCGGCACGGCACCCAAGTCCCGCACACCCACACACAGCCACAGCCACACGCAGACAGACGACACTCATCGCACACAGCCTCGTGCGCGAGGGTTCGCGGGCCGGGCGGGCGGGGCGGGGCGGGGCGGGCGCGCGGGGGCGGGCCGGGGGCGCGGCCACTCACCTCACGGTGTTGCTGTGTATCGTAGGCTGTGTTCGCCAGCTGGATCCCCGAGATCACGGAGCTGGCGGCGCAGCGGAACAAATACGGCGGCCGGTACAACAAGGACGTCCGCCGCAGGTACCCTGCTCTCACGCCCCCGCTCCACGCGGCTTCCTGCCTTCCTACCTCTCACGGTTTCGATCTTGGTTGATTGAATGCGGAGTTTGCTAATGAAATTTATTAATCCTTCACTAGAATCGGTCTCTCGGTGCCGTGGCGCATGCTCGAAGAGTTAGCTCCCGGCGGCCGCGCCCCTCTCCCCGAACTAGAGAGACAGGCGCGCGGTCGACCGACGCACTACTACATGCCTTTTTTCGTAAATTTTACTCGAGATACCGTTGAGCTTTTTAATCCTTTCTAACGAGACTAGATCTGGAGAGAGCCGATGTAAAGTTTTGTAATGCTGTCGATGAAGTAGTGTTTGGTTTGTTCGCTTGCACACGATGCCTGTCGCCACGCTGTAGCGCTAGCTCCGGCACTCGCCACAGTCCCGCGACACACAGCCAGTGCCGCGCCGCGCCGTCCCGCCGCGCCGTCCCGCCACGCGCCGCCGCGCCGCGCGGGGCGAGTCGCCGCCGCACCGCGCGTGCGCCGGCGACTCGCCCCCGCTCTCGGTTCAATCAATGTGAACGTCTTGTTTTGTCTGTCGGCGTTTAGGCGATATTTGCCAGTTGTATCCCAGAGATAATTGACTTAATCGGCACTAGACCCAAGTATGGCGGCACCCTCAAGAATGAGCGGGGACGCAGGTGAGCCGCTGTCTTCACTCCGTTCCGTTGAATGTGTTCCGTGTTGTGACATCTATTCTTCCTTTTCCTCTCTTAGCACGCTTCTGTGTTCTCACTTATCTTGGCGGGACGAAAGTCCCGCGAGTTGTCTTTGTTTTTATGAGTCGATATTGATTGTAAATTATCTTTGAATTGATTTGAGTTCAGTTGAATAGTGAACAGCAGATAGTGGCTAGTGTTATCGCTCGTCATTATAGGTATCATGATTATGTTCTGTTAGTACGTACGTAAAGTAAAGGAATGTTAACGTAAAGCTTAGTTACGGAGAGTTAAATGTTGAGTGGTACCGTACTGTAGTGCGTTGTTGGAGTTCCGGTGTGCGTTGCGACAAGCGAGGCGTCGACAGCCCGTCCCTGCGCGCAGTGGGCACGCGCTGTTGATGCGACGCACCCTGCCTTCCCCTCCCGGCCTGGCCTGGCCCGCGCCCTCCCGCCGTCCGCTCCGCTCCGATCTACTCCTGCCTGCACGACTTACTGTTACTTGTACTTGTACTCTTAATGTTGACCCTCTTAATGTTTTTGATATCTGTAATGTAATTTTGAGTCGACCCCCTCGGTTATTTTAGTGTAATGTATTTTCGTAAATATATATATATATTCATAGAGCGTGGCAAGGCTGTGTGCATTGAGGACATTTTTAACGCAAAATTAGATTAGTTTTATTGAACATATCATTTGACATGATTGACATCATCCTAGCAACAATACACCGATCATTTTATGAAAAAGTTGGATTGAATTTGGAAACTGTTTGCAATGTTTATGGATCGTATTAAAGATACAAGGTAGACAGATTTACTGTTTATATGAATAAAAATGAAATCAGTTCCTTTGCCACACCTTAGATGAATAATAGTTGCATGATCGTGTAGACATGAGCTGTTTGCATCCTTTGGTTTATATTTTCTTATTTTCTGCTCTGTGATGATTTTCTGAAACTTGTTTATATTTTGTTTAACAACATTAACCTTCATATCACTTACGGACTGTCGACTCACATCCCAACAGACGAAGTGTCCACCTTACAGTGTCGATAAGAACTTATTAAGAATTGCGACTCTGGCTCCAACATGAAACCTAGATACATACATCTTTTATATTATGTCCAAATGTTACAAATATCCCAAATACATGAACTGTACTGAGAGGCAAGCTTTTACTGTTTATATATCATTTTTATCTACACACAGTACGAAAGTATGTAAATTACCGTAGCAGCTGATGCGTAGTGTAATCAAGTTATTGGTTTAAGTTCAGAGAAACACCTGCCCTACACTTGTTCACTATTTGTATTTATATAAACCACAGAGTAAATAGATCACAAGACAGAATATGTTTATATTTTATTTACCGACCAGACTTAAGTAGGTATTCATTTACCTAAGTACATAATGTTTTATGCTGTGTCTAGATAAGAATACACAAGCTGACTCTTTGGTAGCCAAAGGCATTTGATTAAAACAAGCGTAGCTAATTGTGCGTACTACATACTAACCAAACGTCATATCATGTTATAATAGAAGTGTAAGATTTGAATTTAATTACATGAGTGCCTACAGAGCGTAAATAAAATGTCTTTTGCAAGTCTCCCGAACAGTCAGCGTGTTAAAATTTAGCTAACGAAGTCATTACAACACAAATTTTTCTCCTCCATGCAATGTAATGCTATTATTGTTGTATGTCCCCCTTCAGACACTACATATGTCCTGCAAGCAACCTCAACAACCCCTGTCCATAGCCGTCGTCTCATTTTATTTATTTTTTATTTTTTTAGTGTGGTAGATAGTTACACAAGTCCTGAACGAAACTGAGCTTTCTAGAAATAAACGTTCATTTTTTTGTGGCTGGATTTAAATATAGAATCTCAATTTTGAAGGCATTATGTTGGCCAATTACACAATAGTAATGTGAAGATTAAAATATGAGGAATGACATGATTGCGGATCACAAAATTATGAACTTATAGACTCAATATATGGTCGTTTTAATTTGCAAACTACGTCATTGTTTTCAACAAAATCGAATACTAAAAAAACATATCATCCTTGACAGATGTTGAATTTATATAAAATTGGCGATATCGAAACAATGGCGTCGTTGTAATAAATGTAGCTTCTCTTCACGCTTCTATCACTTACTGTTTTGTTTAACCCTGTCGTGACCTGTTTCTTTTCAATATTTTATTACTTACCAATTACTTCCATCTGGTCCCAGGTGTTAAATAAGACTTCAAATTGCTGTTACTTCTGTCTTTTCCTTCTTCTACTTTTAAGATAAGCTTCTTGAAAATTTGCTTTTCAAAAGAATCAAGCCAATGTAAATGATTTAATGTTTTAACAACACGAAGCTTAAAAATAATGACAATTTTGCAATTTTCCAATAAGTTCTTTTCAAACTTACAAGCTTTGAGATTTTCTGAGAACTCGCTTCTGAAGCTTCTTTCTTTGTTTTTCCAAATGCAAATTGGTTTTGTAGTTGCACCTTGAGTGAAGCGGAGTGGGTCGGTGTTATAACATACTTGTACGGTTTCAGGCATATTGTGGTCTGTGGACACATAACTTACGAGTCAGTGAGCCATTTTTTAAAAGACTTCCTACATGAGGACAGAGAGGATGTAGACGTCGAAGTTGTTTTTTTACACAGGTATGTATAGACACAATTACTTTATTATACATTATGTCGGAACAATAATGAAATGAAACAAGATATAATTTTAAATTCACTTATCAAATTGAATAAATAAATATATCTCGTAATTAACTTGAGAAAAAGATTGCTGCGTACTGATATAATATTTATTTGATCACTGTGGCAGCAATAATACGATAGAAGAATATTGAAAACATTTAAAATTTTAGCTGGACTCAGATAAACAATAAATCACTGTATAGACAACTTAAATACGATCTATCAACGTTTATAATATTCTTCTACGTACTTAATGTACTTATGTATTGAGTAATGTGTGACGTATTGTTCAGTATATTGACATCCGAATATACTGAAACAAGTATAACTAGTAGTGAATGTATCGGATGTATTCCTCGGTGGCAATGACAAGTGAGTGGGTAGGTGCGGCCCTCGGTGTCGCATCGCGTGTGACTTAGCTTGTGCCAGTGTCGAGGGGTGGTGTGTCATGTTTGCTCCGACGACGCTTTCAGAAAAGAGCCCGACCTTGAGCTGGAAGGTCTCCTCAAGCGTCACTACACCACCGTCGAGTTTTTTCAGGGTACAATGATGAATGCCGTCGACCTTGAACGAGTCAAGGTTAGAAAACAACCATAGAGCAGGCATTAGATAAACGCACGGCCGTAATTCTCATTGACGCGTCTACGTGAATCAGTACTTTTTTTTATTTATTTATATGTGCATAAAACAGAACTGTTTCTTCTGTAAAGATGCTGTTTCATAGTCACAGTAGGTATTGATCACTTTGGTAACGTTTATCTTGTGATTATTTTGATGCAATCATTGCTTCTCACGGTGCTGCGAGGCCGCCGAGGCGACCCCGCACCACCACACGACTGCGTATTTTGGTACTAGAGTTGCATGGTAAGGCCACGCCAGGCGGCGGACTGTCCGGTAACCATGGCAGGTTCTTAACTGAGCGTTCATGACAGGAAACCGCCCGACCTGGAGCTCGAAGGCCTGTTCAAGAGGCACTTTACCACTGTGGAATTCTTTCAAGGCACCATTATGAATCCAATCGACCTACAGAGGGTGAAAGTAAGTAAATGTGACACACACAAAAATAAGAAAATGGGCGTGGTGTCGGTTTGACGATGTAACATACTGTCTAGAGTAGAGCGATGCTCGTAAGCTATCGCGCTCGTTGAGGCGCGGCGCTCGGTACGTTGCCGGGGCCCGCACGCTACGGAGCGCCGCGCGGGACTGCGCTCTGCCCGCCCACCATGTGTCTGATTGGGTGTTGTTGCAATGCTGGCCCTTTGTCACTTCGATATCGATGTTCTGTACGTTCCGATCGCAATATTGGCATTAATGGCTGCCGAAGAAAGGGTTTCCATTTCAAAATTAACATTTTTATAAGTAGTCGAGTACAGTTATCGATTGTCGATATTTTTGGGTAAGTTGGCATGGCTTATGGAATGGACGCGCTTGCCTGTACTTCTTCTTTGACCCCACCTGCTTCTTATGAAATGATTACCACATAAATTAATTGATAAACTTTAATATCAACTATTTAAAAATCATGTAATGATTTGACGTGATCACGTTTTTGGCCAAATTTAGTTCAAATATATGAATTCATAAAGAAGTGGTTTTCATTTTTTATTTTCAGCAAAAGTTCTGCATGCGCAACTTTCACGCTTCTGTAAACCTCAGCTTGTTAGATCGTAGTAGTACTAATATACGACCTGTGTTAGATAACAACCTTTACTAATACATGTCTCTGTCTTTCCTCCTAACAATTGATGTGTACTAACTAACTCTTGGTAACTTAGTGTGTTCTCGTTTGATTGGTAAGTGTTGTGACCCATAAATGTTTAATTGCTTAATGTTCCAAAAACTGCATTGATAAATGTGTAATTGATATATCCAAGCAATGGATTATGCTGCAACTCTTGTGGCTGCCAATTCAATTTGTGAGCCCTCCTTGTTAATCAATGTTACTTGATTCTATCCTCTGCTACAGCTTGACACAAATCTGTAAGCTTGTCATGTAGATGGTACCTACAATGAGGCTGCTTAAGAGTGATCGTGGAACATCAAATATTGGACGTAAAACCAATGTTAAAGACATCAAAAAGTTATCTATCACTTTTAAAGTTTCATTCCCACCATCTTATTGGCAAGCGCTCTCCAGCACTTTGTTATAACCATTGCAACGTGTAGGTACATGAAGCAGACGCGTGCCTGGTGCTGGCCAACAAGTACTGCCAGGACCCCGACGCGGAGGACGCCGCCAACATCATGAGAGTCATCTCTATCAAGAACTACTCCGACGACATTAGGGTCATCATACAGCTGATGCAATACCATAATAAGGTCCAAAAGTCATACATATAAAAAAATATTTTTAAAAATGCTGGTGGTTTCTACAACAATATGTGCGTACGTGTTGCAGGCCTACCTCTTAAACATTCCATCATGGGACTGGAAGCAAGGCGACGACGTCATCTGCTTGGCGGAGCTGAAACTCGGCTTCATCGCGCAGAGCTGCCTCGCGCCCGGCTTCTCTACCATGATGGCCAACCTATTCGCCATGCGCAGCTTCAAGACGGTCAGCCTTCTCTTTTACTACAGCACATACTATAAAATGCCCCGAGTACTGTCAGAGACCGATCCGTCACCCACGGCCGGATAGCGCTCGTGTCGCTCTCTGAAGGTACTCGGGTTCTAACGATACTATGCGGCATTTCCACAGTCACAAGAAATGGCTATATGGACTAATGACTACATGCGAGGTACCGGCATGGAGATGTACACCGAGACACTTAGTTCCACGTTTATCGGGATGCCGTTCAAACAGGCCGCAGAGTAAGTGGCTGCGAACGAGATGCTTTCAATAACGTGACACGAGACCACGTCACACACATCTGTATACATTACCAGTGTTTGAGCAACCCATCGTGATGACAGGACAATCAATACTAACCAACTACGAGACGCATAGCTTATCATTTTAGTGTTTTTGTTTGCGCGCTTGTCGTCTGTGGTTTTGAACAAATATCAGTGTTTTTTCTTTCGATTTCATACTCATGGGTACTGCACTGAATAACGTTTTAGAGGATAACATATTTAGAAAATAATATAGGGCCATGATAATACTAATTGTGTATAGATGTGTAATATAGCCGACGAGTGGCGAGCAGCGAGAACCCGAGCCGAGCGGACGTGATAGCCTGTCGAGGTGGCTACGACTAACATAGCACGAGCTTTAGCGAATCCTATTGGTTGATTGCAGTCCCCCGACACACAAGCTTGGCAGAACGATTACCTGCAGGGTACGGGCTGCGAGATGTACACGGAAACACTGTCGACCTCCTTCACGGGAATGAGCTTCCCGCAAGCGAGCGAGTAAGACTCCCCTCGATCCTTGGGCCGCCTGCACCGCACCGTAGACACTGTGTGCCGACTTGCTAACCCTAGCTATACCTGAGTGTGCACTGATAGCAGATAACCTAGTCACCGGTAGCCTGGATATCCTAGTACTAAACTTATTCTCTGACTTTTCAGAATAGATTGTGCATGTTGAATGGGTAATTTGTTAGACGATAGTGGTATGTATGTATTCTATTTTAGACTAAGTACGAGCCGATCATAAATTGCAGTCTACATCGACATATTTTAAATTAATTGCATCTTATCAACTGATTAAAATTTTCAATAAAACACCAATATTTTATCACTTGATCAAATCGACGAGATCAAAGAATGACTTCAGTGCAGTAAAAGAAAAATGTGAAAATTCTGCCATTGATATAAATCATTGTCATGACGCACTTCTTCTTGGGCTTAGTTGCACACTTTTTCTATTAACTTTATGGAAACTATCTGTTGAGCTTCCAGTTCAATGATGGTATTTGGGTACCGTACTTCACGGGTTCTGGTCTTCTATTTGTACCGCTTTTTATGTTCTATACCGTAGGAAAATATACGTATGTATGTTGAGTAGAAATATGTTATATGTATGTATGTGTAGAATATGCATGCTTTCCTGTTACATATGTGTATATAAGTACATTCTATATATTATTTATGTAAATTCAATAGTGGGCTTAGTACATAAAGAGCTTTCGTGGTTAGAAAAAATATCTAGTTGTCTGTAGCATGTGGATTTAAAATTATAAATTTGTAGAACAAACTGGTAAGAAATTAGATGTCAATTATTAAAGTAATTCTACATTTGATTTATACACTTCACGCCAGTAGATTTGCTGGCGTAGTATGATACGAGTACCATAGGGAAAATGTTCAGCTTTTATATACCTAGCCATTAGAGATTGATCTACATAGTAATAAAATTAAGATTAAAATTTGTATCCCAACAAGCTTTAAACTTTAACTTAGCTTTTGCGACCGAGTGAATAGAAATCCGTAACGTATAAAACATATTTATGGATCGTGTCGGTACATCATGTGACCATCCTCCAGATTATGCTTCACGAAGCTCAAGCTGCTGCTGCTCGCCATCGAGATCAAAGGCGAGGAGGGAGCTGACAGCAAGATATCCATCAACCCGCGCAGCGCCAAGATACACGCCAACACGCAGGGTTTCTTTATAGCGCAGTCCGCAGACGAAGTCAAAAGGTTAGAGCCCTGCCTCTTTGATTTTCTTTCAAAACTAATACTCTTAGATGCTGGTAGACTCGTTCTTTACGCCTGAACAGTGCAAATAACTTAGTCACTCTTAAATGTTCGTAGTCTTTCAAATACAGGAGATTCGTTTGTTTTGATAGCTTCCTGCTGTCGTTGACTCTCTTCTAATGACTGTTGGTCGGCCAAAATCGTAGCATCTCTCTCCTTAGTACTTACTACAACTATTATCATTCCAGAGCTTGGTATTATTGCAAGGCCTGCCACGAGGACATCAAAGACGAAACGCTCATCAAGAAGTGCAAATGCAAAAACTGTAAGATCACTGTATTGCTATCATTACTAATACATTGCATTATTTAGCGAGACAATCTGTACAAAATTCTGAACATACAATACTTTAAGCTAACTTTCTTAACTTGAACTATTCTGTGACATTCTTTCTGGAAATATGAATGTTGTAACGAACTGTGTCCCGTAATATGTGTGTCACTACACAAGTGTACCTACACGTAGGCAGTAGGCAGGGCCGCCCGGCCCGGCCCGGCGCCGGCCGGCCGGCTCGCACACAGACTCGCTCGACTCACTGTTTTCTTTCTACGTGTCAGACATTAATGAATATATTGTTCGGCTAAACTTTTAGTGACCGCGCACCAGCGGAAGGTTGGAGCCGACATAGGTAACTTGCACCACACCTAACCTCACAACTTGACGTTTTCCGATATTTATTTTTCGTGTCTATAATTTTGTTGAGTTGCTTTAGTGGTGTTGCGTCCGTACCTCACTGACTGGATCGGCTGCAAGGCATTATCTTGACCCGTGCTCGTTCACACCCTATACTTAGCGATCATTGTGTATGTCCGCTCGCTCGTGAATGGATTCCGCCACAAGATGAAGCACTCCGACACTTCACCATTTTTCTGCCTTTTGAGATATTATTCGCTCTGTTTCTGTATCGATTGAGAGGATTTAGTGCATCATACAATACCGCTTAATATTCACACCCAATCAGGACTTGTAAATTGTACTAATTAATTGATCACACAGCAATCACATGTCAAAATTATTTAATGAGTGCTGCGTGCGGCACACAACGCGCTGCGACTCTGCGAGTTGAACACGATTGCTATGATGCACTTCCGAGCCCAGCACAGACAGTACTATGCATGTAAACATTCAATAATACGTAGAACTAAATACCGCAAACTGCAAGTGCACCGTCATGTCCCCGACACTTAGATGTAATACTGTACGTACTCGTAACTATGAATCCACGAAAGCATGTCTCAGAACGAAAGGAGTGAAGATCTCAAACTGCTGTTCAGATTGCCCATCGAGAGTGAGCTTGGAGGACAAAGACTTTGAGGACAGTTCCGGCTTGTCTGTGCTAACGACAGTGACTAACACGGGGAGGAAACTAAATGCAGTCGCGGTCCATCATGTTCATCCACGCTTTGACAGAATCAAATTCAACCGCTCGCAACACCGATCGACATGACACATAGCCTCACTGCACTCAATTTGATTCTACCAAACTCATTAACACAAATAAACCATAAATACTAGGAGCGTACATTCGTATTGTCAGTGTTTGGATTTTTACAGATGTTGGAATGATGATGATGCAGACTGGGATGGTGAAACAAAGTCTTAATACGTACCGTGCTTGTCTCGACGGTACGGAAACGAAAAGACAAATATACCGTATTACCGTACCTTACACACGTATAGTTTGTTTGCATAAACTAACCATTGCTATGGGCGACTTGGTACTGGGCTACAATATACCAATGCTAATACACGATAAACGACACACGCAACTAGTATAGCTCGCTAGGCCACGACACTATATTAACTACAGCTCGCTTACTCCGCGACATAACATAGGTAGCTACTCTCAGTTGGACACTGTCACGACTGCCGCCATGTAGGAGCCGGCCTCTGTTACTACCCGCCCGGGAGTTGCCGCGCTCTCCGTAGTGGCCGGTAGCAATAAGAGGTCATAGCGTTTCCATCAACTACTATCCCCTACTGAGAGAACTTCAGCTTTGCATCTCTGTCTGCATAACAACTATTATTATTTGCGTATCTTCTGTTCCTCCTTTTACAATTAAAAACAGGTTAAATTGGATTGTGTAACAAGTGAGCTTAAACGTATTGTTTCTCGGTTCAGTGGCTACGTTCAGGAAGGGCGTACGAGCCGTCCAGATGGTTGGCAGGGCAAGTACGTAACCTTAATGTGTATAAGATTCAGTGTACATGTCAATGTGATGTTTGTACGCGACATGTGGGGGGGTGACTCCTGGCCACCGATCGCTAATAGCAAACGTGTCCTGTTTTATCATTGTCTTGTCTTATACGTTTCTATATGTGCATTATACAGCAGTTAGATGTTTGCCTCTCTATTAGACGATATTTAAAACATCGAGAGACATTATGTGATGTCGTTTATTTATTTTGGTGTTGTTGTTATTATTATATTATTATATCTCAAAATATTTTTCTAGGAGTATTTTGATCCCTGATTTTCTGCATCGACATAGTCCCTCAGATATTGATGTTGTGAAGTAATAGATTTTACAAGAAATTCATTTATAATTTTAATCTGCTTAAGAGTTGAAAAGATGAGTTAATGAAACCCTGCATAGGGAACGTTTAGATGCTCCCGCCTCGATAGAACCGTGCGGACCTAGCAGTCGTTAGCTGCTGCGTCCCAATCTGCCGAACGATTTGGTATACTCGCCTTATTGTTATCACATCCCTGTAATATTTACAATCTCTAATTTCATTTGAGCCTTCAGTTCTTAGTACGCCAGTGCCATTACAATCACACCATGTTTTCATACTCGCATTCCCTTTGCATTAGCCATGGTAATCCCTAGGGTTCTAAATCCATTTAATTCAAGAAGTGAGACATAATATTCTAGCACGTAGAGCTTGTCTACTAGTTAGATACTTTCGTTTTGTGTGTCGTTTGTATTCGTAGCTTTTGTTTGTTGCATGCGTGGTGGTAGGTATTGTTGTAATCTGTAGCTTGAACCAGTAGCCGGACTAACATTTTCCTGTTTACTAAGTAATTTGATTGTGTATCGGTTTCATCTTCAGCTTACTTTTGCGCTTCTCTCTGGACGGACACGTCATATAACTTTGTGCTACTATATCTAACACTAGAAACAACACACTTTTTATACTAATTTATGCAATTCAAAATAAAATATGCAAAAATGCTAATTGCTTTCAAATATTTGGAAAGATGAAACCGATGATTATACTACTGAAGTGATCTGAGTCTATTTGGACAGACCGGGCTCACGCTGTACTATATCGCGATGTGCTGTAGGAACTGTATTTACTGAGTGGAGTGGAATGCGAACTTGTGCTGATGTTTTGCAGATGATCACCATCCTCCCCCCACCTTCACGCCGCCAGAGTTGCCCAAGAAGGTCCATGTTCGAGGTACATCTTCGGCACCGAGCCGAGTGTTTTTTTTTTTGTTTTCTTTTAATCATCGGCCCACTGATCCATATGACTGGCAATATGCTTCGTCCCCGGTAGCCGGAAGGTACCGTGCACCTAGTTGCTTTGTCACGCATTACTTCATAGCGCGCACTGACAGTGGCGGCCGGCCCAGCCCCGGCCGGCCCGCAGTAGTTACACGTCCCGCCGCCGCTCCGCAGAGCGACATTTCTTAACTAACTGCCTCAAACTAAATTTCACAAAAGGTCCCGAATAATTAAATTGTACACGAATCAAAATCATTTTGTTTTTATTTTACTTTTGCATTCACTATTTCAATGAGTAATGAGTCAACAAAGATTGAATTATTTCATCGATCTGTGCTTCTTGGTAAACTCTAAAGCGGATGTATTATCATTTGTGGTTTGTACCCCTCTGCCGCGCATTGCAAATATTCATGGCATTGCATTTATTTGTCTGAATGATTAAATACCTACCATCTTTATTAAAAGAGTTGCCAATTCGTGGATGATATTACTTTTACTGGTGTTACCATTTAATAATAACGAAAACCTAAAATCTTGTCCAAAATTGGCAGCGCTAAAGTGAATGCTATGTGGGTACATTTATGCTTTTGTTGTAGAATATCGATTTCAAATTAATAATTTTAAAATAATTATAAGTGTACCTCAATCACTTCCTATTAGTAAAAATATTTGAAAATACATTCTGAGGCTGGCATGACATTGTGATCTACAGTCTCTTATAATCAAACAAAGTAAAATTAATTTGTTGAAACAATTTTGAATATGCATTCAGTAACTTAATTAATACTAGATTTTTAAAGTAAGAAAAGTAAAATGTAAAGTAAATTCACGAGCTTTGCTACCCACATACACGTGCACTTTGACACTTTGAGTCATATATTCGGATACATTTTAGTTATTGCCTTTCAGGTGAAATTGCGAGAGAAAGAGGGGAGGATACTAGTTGTAAGTATTAGAACATAACTAAAATAAATATCGAGTGCAGGACAATGCCCTTTTTGGTAGAGTAAAGGGGATATCAGTACCTACGCACACTTAATTAATTAATTATTTATATCTACCTAATACAATATCTATAGTACGTAAGTATATCTCATCATCATATCTCATCTCATCTCTCTCATTAATGAAATATAAAAGCAACTTAATATGGGCGCGTGTTTGATTCAAAGCTTGATCATAGTTATCATATTAAACTCATGACAACAAAGAACTTTTAAAAGATAAAATTCTTGGTTCAGTAATAAATCGCAACCATCGGAGCGTAGCACCGACAACGCTGCTGTCTCCGAGCGCGAACCAGCTGGTGAACACCACCACCACGAGGCAAGTCAACAAGGTGAAGCCCAACGTCAACAGGGCCCCGCCGGACACGTGAGTCACACACATTACATACTCACTCGTTTTAACTAATTTGTCTATGTCCTCGAGTGAGGATACGTGACTCAGATTACTATTATTTAGATTATCTTTTCTTCAAAATTTAATTCTAAAACGTGACAAAACAATCACTAGCTTTTTTATATCCTTCGACGTAAGTTTGTAGTTTCCCTTCAGTCACGTATCAACATTCTTCTCATGAAATAACGCTATAATTGTTGCTTTCTCTGGAGCCAAGCAACACAGCCCGTGTACTAATTATTTCAAGTCCTATCATGTGGTCAAAACACGGCTTCAGAAAATTAGAAACTAGCCAGTTCAAACCAAGTCAAATTTATAATATTAACAATAAAATATGAAAATAAATCTAGCCATTAAAGTCTCTTCTTCTATCCCTAATTTCTCTATCTGTCGCGGCTTCATATTCAAGTATTTAATTATTTTTATTTTAGCACAGTGTGCACAAGCACTAAAGTGATATTTTACCAGACCGCATTTATTTCCTTTAAAACAAAAGAAACGGAGACGACTCTTTGACCCTGTGTTACAGGAATCCCCAGGATCAAGATACCAATTACCAGGCCTATCACCTTGCCTACGAAGTGAAAAAACTCATGTAATTGAAAATTATTCAGCTAGATCATTTTATTATCAGTAGTTTTGATATTTGCAAAGTACTTGAATTCTTTTACACGAGTTAAGTCAGCAATGTGTGAATGTTGGCAACATTGCGTCCGCACTGCACGGTCCCCGGACTCGCCAGTGCAGACTTTCCTCGACAGTTCGTAGCGAGTAGTGCTTGCCTCACTAGTCAGATATTTTACTTTGAAACTATTTTATTGTTATCGTATACTGCACTTGAATTGAGCACGACACACATCTACAGCATGTTTATGTCACTTTATGTTTATCTACACATATTTATATCTGCGATGCATATTACTGTACATTTGTAGTTTAGATATTGTTATTGTGCGCAGTGCCTACAACACCTTCAGTAGCTTCCAATTATTCCATTAGTTACATATAATACGTTCATAAGTTGATTTTAGTAACAATCCGATACCAAGCCTAATTCGGTCAATAATAGCATTGCCTAAAATGTAATTGTAGTAAATTAGACACTAAGATCTTCTGTAGAGGCTCTTCTTAATTTTTATACATACACCCCATACCTACCCAGTAACAAAGATTTAATTTGTTTCCCTAAACCTCTCAATTTCTTCTATTAGATTAAAATTGGAAAACATAAAAACGAAAATTATAAATGACCTACATAAACACGTAACCTAAACGCAAATTGCATTGGTTTTGTGTATGCAGTTTGTAACTGTGATATTTGCACAGGCCTACGAGTAGAAGCAGTGGTGGTAACCAAAACAGCAATGGCGTCAGCCTGCCCGCGGGCCTCGCTGACGACCAGTCGAAAGATTTCGACTTCGAAAAGACTGAAATGAAGTACGACTCCACTGGAATGTTCCACTGGAGCCCTGCGAGGAATTTGGAAGATTGTATTTTAGTAAGTTCTTGTTCCTAATTATTGTAAACTCAAATGCTTAAACCAAATTACATACTTCAACAACAATATTGAGTTTAAACACCCGAAGCTACAAATGAACAACAATCTGGTTTTCACTATTTTAAACACTCTCCTCAAAATATCCTTATCTTCTACAGGACCGAAATCAGGCGGCCATGACGGTTCTGAACGGGCACGTGGTAGTGTGTTTGTTTGCGGACCCTGACTCGCCGCTCATCGGGCTCCGTAACCTGGTGATGCCGCTGCGCGCGTCCAATTTCCACTACCATGAGCTCAAGCACGTCGTCATCGTGGGAAGCGTCGACTATATTAGGAGAGAGTGGAAGATGTTGCAGAATCTACCAAAGATTTCTGTTTTGAATGTGAGAAACACCTTTTTATATGTTATGTCAATTTAAGCTTTCCTACGACTATGTTTCTAACGGTATATGATATTCCTCAGGGTTCACCGCTAAGCCGGGCTGACTTGCGTGCAGTTAATGTGAACTTGTGCGACATGTGCTGCATCCTGTCGGCGAAGGTGCCATCGAACGATGACCCGACGCTGGCCGACAAGGAAGCTATCTTGGCTTCGCTGAACATCAAGGCGATGACGTTCGACGACACGATAGGAGTGCTGAGCGCCGGCGTCACCAACGGCAGCAGCGCGGCGCCACCCCCGCCCGGCGCCCCGCCCGCGCCCGTGCTGCTGCAGCGCCGGGGCTCCGTCTATGGTGCCAATGTGCCTATGATTACTGGTTAGTGGATCTTACTTCTATACCTACATACAGTAACATACTTCTTCAGTACCAAAACATTTTTCTTGTAAATAGTAATAGTATTTCTCCGAGTTGCTGATTCAAAATTTTTCCTTTCTTCCCGCAGAGTTGGTGAACGACAGTAATGTGCAGTTCCTGGACCAGGACGACGACGACGACCCGGACACGGAGCTGTACCTGACGCAGCCCTTCGCGTGCGGTACAGCCTTCGCCGTCAGCGTACTCGACTCACTTATGTCCACAGTAAGTGGTTACATGATGATTTGCGCAAGATGGCTGGCAGGAGCTGGATGCGAGTGGCCGAAGATCGATCCCAGTGGCGTGTAATAGGAGAGGCCTATGTCCAGCAGTGGACTGAAAAGGGCTGATGATGATGATGATGATGAAGTGGTTACAACATGTTCTACTTTGTCAAGCTTTTGCATGGCCAAAATATGTTTGTTTTATCTTAACATCCTAATTAAAAACCAAGTTTTACATATTTCTCATTCTTATTCTACGCTCAGGACTATACTTTGACGTTTTCAAAGCTAATAGTGCTAGTAAATTAAAGATAAATTTGACTTTACTACAGTTTTTCCGGTATGAATTTGTTTCAGACTTATTTCAACCAAAATGCCTTAACGTTGATCCGCTCGTTGATCACGGGTGGCGCGACGCCGGAGCTGGAGTTGATCCTGGCCGAGGGTGCAGGCTTACGGGGCGGGTACTCCACGCCGGAGAGCTTAGCTAATAGGTAAGTTATGCCAGCATATTTTTTGCTTCAGTCTGACGGGGCCCAGGACATAGGCGCGTGGCCTTGGACGCAACGGGCTTTAATGCTTTCTTGCTCAGTCAATACTGTAGACCCTGGCTATCTGGACTTGCAGTGTAATGGGCTTGTACTAAGCAAGAATTGCAACTTTATTTGATGGCTACATGTCCTCATTTGACTAAAATGTATAAATTCAAAGTTCACCACAAGATTTGTTCCTACACTTATGTATACTGATTGTTGTCAGGGATCGGTGTAGAGTGGGTCAGATCTCGTTGTATGACGGTCCACTGGCGCAGTTTGGCGAGGCTGGCAAGTACGGTGACCTGTTCGTGGCGGCGCTCAGCACGTATGGCATGCTGTGCATCGGCCTGTACCGGTTCCGAGACACCTCCTCGTCCTGCGACGCTAGCAGCAAGCGATACGTCATCACTAACCCGCCCGATGACTTCTCGCTCCTACCTACCGACCAGGTAACATGACTGACTGCCTTCCACGGCGTGGTATCACGAGAGAGGTGTATCTATAACGGCGCGATGGGTTCCACAGGTGTTCGTGCTGATGCAGTTCGACCCGGGCGTGGAGTACCGGTCGTCGCGGCGCGCAGCAGCGGGCGCGGGCAAGGACGACGCCTCCTGACTATTGCTGTGCAGCGCCCTCACTGACGGGCCCTACTCCTACATCTAGGCAGTAGGCCCCCACTCCGACAGTCCCGCCCCTCCCCCCGCCCACTCCCGCACTCTTCACTTCGACTTTTGGGTAAACGTCCACGTATTATTGATTAGATTTTGTCCTGACTTCTTTAGTCGTGAATGAGAGTGCTGCTACCTCTACTCTGTCCCGTTTTATTTTAATTTTGTCGACACTATATGTTAGTATTCTAAGTTGAACACTTCCTGCACAGCAACTACACTCCTCAAACGCACTCTTGTATAGTCTAGCATTCGTTTGTTTAGCAGAAAATATCTACAGAAACAATCAAATAACGAAACTTTAAAGTAAAATATTAACGTAATAATGATTGCCTATCTATGTATAATATACTTCTACAGCGACTGGTCGCACAGTCCGTAGATCTTAAATCAGTTGAGAGTACTATCTAAATACCTATATGTCACGACAAGGCAGTGCATAGACGCCACAAGAGAAGATAGAATACGAGCTGTAAGCAATAATAACTAGAAAGCGCTTAAAAATATAGAAAAGCTTTCGATGTGTAGGGTTAAGACGGTAGAAGGAGTTCAAGTTCGGTACAATGCTGTTGTTAATGAGTATAAAATATATAAAAGTTGTAAAATAATATATGGCAGTAGAGAGTCGATTTGAAAGGTTATGGCACCTCACACCAGCTATGTTATCATTATGTGTATACTGCAGTACACCGCCGATATCGACACTTTGACGAGGTACGTGCTAGTAACACGTAGCGTAGCGCGGCGTCAGGACGCGGCCGCCGCCTCCGAAGTGCTGACACCAGCGATACACGTTGCACTTTTGACTCACTATCAATCAACATGTTATACCAAATACAACGATCTTCAATATTGATAATTTTAATACGATACGGTGATGGTTTAGTTATAGGATTTGTTTATTAAGGTGTTGGGATGTAACAAATACAAGTGCACACACACGTTATATATCGAACGTGTCCTGACCACACCTCTTTGTCTTGCAACGACAGAATAGTTCTTCCTATATGCCTAGCGAGTATCCAATGCAGCGAGTAAAATATTCCAAAGAGCTACGATTGGATCAGAATGGATACACAATTCCCACATATTGAACAAAGAACAACTGTTGCATTGTGTATCAAGTCATCGCTACTTTTAACAAATACTTCTACAGACTGTCGTCGACCTCTTTACGCGGCAGTTTGTCTTCAGTCTTCTTCCATTCAAATACTTGATATCTTTAACTTCTTGATTTCTAAAGTCTTTTCAAGTAATTGTAAGCAATGCTCAACGAGAGAAACCTTTTAAACTTTTAATTGCATGACAACATCTCGTGTAAACGGACATACATAGGTGTAGGCTATCGCTTTTCTTAGAATATCCATTCCTTATTCAGTAGTTTTTTTCTGTCACGTTTCACGTAATAAGTGCTACTTATAGAGCTGAAATATAGACATATTATAAGCATTTAATGTTATTCATCGACTGATTGTTAAGCACATCATATCATCATCAATACTTTGTGATTGTACCAAGTTATTTAGTCACTATTTTTTAAGTTTTTAGATGTTTAATTTTTCCATGGGTTCACATTGAATTCATTATTTAGTTATAAGACACTCTGCCATATTCTCAAGTGCACGTATGGTAGTGGTCTGCATACAGTTCCATTGCTCATTGTTTATCTTCTATTTTATTACATTTTTATAATCTAAGGTTAGACAACTCGTTGAATATTTTCATGCAGAATCGTACTTCCACGTAACCTTTCAGAATATTGAGAGAGAACGAACCTATCCAAGTTGACGCGTTATTTCACCTTGAAATCTGCATAAAAGTATAATCAACTGTTATATGAACATAGTAACTTCCAGCCTCACCTTATAGTACCACGTTTTTTTGTTTTATTTTTATTTTAATAAAATTATATTATGCTATTTTATTTTCTTTTTATTTTCTGTTATGTTTTTCCTAATATTTGGCGGGGGGATTGTCAAAGTGGACGAGATACACGGATGGCGCTGCACATAAATACCAATGAACTGAAACAATTAATATTATTACAAAACGATGCCATTGCGAGATTAGTTCAACTTGAAGATGGTTTTTGTTTGCGAGGACACCGAGTGCGAACTGTAATTTTGCTGTAAATGTGTGATATTATTTTCGAATCGTTGTTAAAATAGAGAGGCTTCTGAAGCCTGCGATGTATTTAGTGTTAACTCCGGGTGCTTTGACGATTGTGGACTCTCATAGTTTACTATGTTGATTGTATTAGATAAGATACCGTAGCCGGCTGCACTCTCCTCGCGCTCACCAACGTTCAGACAGCCATTCGGCAGTGCAGTTGGTTAGAGGTCTTTTTTTAGAATTTATTAGGCATTAGTTACATTGCCTCACAGTTAGAATCATTACAGTACCTCGAATAGTACGTAATACAACGTAACGCAATAACTATTACTAACATACAAGATGTTTGATGAATGACAAACCTACGATACGCGTACCCCACAAGCCCGCTACGCGTCGCACGCACGCAACAGCACGAATGTTTATATTATTACCTAATAATTAATAAATACCTCAATTTTACTGATAGTAAGTATATTTGAAAGTATTTAAAATTTTATCAAACATCCTGTACATAGTTATCTTTATCACACTCATATAGATATCATTTCATTCGAATAGACTAGGCAAAACCGGCCTTAATTACAGTACATAGGTTAATGTGTAAAGTTTTCACGAACACTGGAACGTGTCTCCGTGAACGTCACTACGTATGCGCTCTACGAGTATTCGAACATGTGTGTTAGTCCTGCGTATAACCTGTGCTCATTTCTGTCCAAACACGGAAATAGCACAGCTACCCTAGTTCGTAAAGGAATTGAATGCAAACATACTGCCATATTTTTGTAAAGTGACTACGTTACCCATAGAGCAAAGTACCCCAACGAAAAAGTACAAAAACGAGGCCCTGAGTGAACGAACATTCCTGCAACTTTAATGTTTAACGTATAAAGTGTATTAATATAGAGCGGAGTACGCTATGTACCCACGCCGGCACGGCGTGCCTGCGCCTGCGCAAGAGACGGTGTTAGGTATATCCTGTGCAAAGGCTTACAAACAATTATATATCTAATTTATTACACTTACACCACCGGGCGTTAAGAAAATTGTAAAGTTATGAGATGGTTGTGCACGATAGAATATTATTTATGTAATTAAAGCTAATCGGTCTGTCCAAAATATAAAATTAAATGATGACATTGGCTAATTCGGCCGAGCCAAGCCTGGCAGGGCGAGCGGCCGGCCGAGGTACCGACACCGCACACAGCCGAGTCTAGTGGGTTAGTCGTAATTTGAGCTTGATATATCGGTAAGTAGTGACCTATGCATGGAGCCCTAGCCAAACTAGGTACCTAATATTTAGAGTACCGCCGCGCGCCGCGAGCTGCATTCGACACTCAATTTTTAAAGTTTTTAGCTAGAATGTTGTAAATAGTCAAATGTAATTTTGTATGTTACATAAGAATTTTTCAATATACGTCTCCTTTGCATTAAAATAGAAGGCTACGGTTACATTAAAACGTTTATATTCAAATACTATCGTGTGTAGTTTGTTGTGAATTAGGCTTCGATGTCACTGTATGCTAGTTACGTATAGAGTTCGGACGTCTCATTGTAAAAATGTAAAATACACGCTATTGATTTGGGATTAAAATATCAATGTTAAATAAGTATTAATATTAAATGACGATTTTTCCTTTAATATTTTTATACAGCATTACAATATATTTATCGCAATTAAAAGTTTATAGAGGTGGGTCAGTGTGCAATTTAAAAAATAAAAATAGTGTTTAAAATTGTATAATCGCCTTAACGAGAGAGAATATAGCTGAGTCCTCCTGCGTGTGTTTGCTTGACGTTTAATGTTACCATTATTGTTTATGCAGTGTGTAACTGCACCGTGCGCACCGTATGCATGCCTAGGGACTTGTTGCTAGGTGGCACCTAAACCTAAGGGCCGTGTGTGGGCAGGTCGCCGGGCGATCTCCCTCCTATTATTTACCATTACGGGCGTAAATTAAAATATTACATTGATTGACGATACAAGATTTAATGAACGTAAGCGGCTGTTACTTATGAAATAAATTAAACATTGGGAAGTTCGATGTTGCTGTCAATATTTTAATTCACCCTGTGTGACCACGTACCTGTCTATTAATAATCACAAATTTATCGCTGTTAATTTGTTGCTCCATATTTGTACTAAAATGAGATTGATGCGACTATTTGACATGCGCAAGTATGTAGCGGTGGTGATCTAATCGTCTTAGCTCTTCGGATTAGTATAAATTACCTATCGGATGTTGACAAGAGACAGGAAAACTATATCTCATAGTTGTAGTTAAATATAACATAACAAAGCGTATGTCCACTGAAATGTAGATTGTTGTATGTATTTAAGTAAGTCTGAATCAAGTAATCATTTCTAGGGGCACAACTTCTCCATATACGGGAATGTGTCCAATTTGCAATACAATGGCCCACGACAGGTTCATAAAGGTGTATTAATTAAAAAATAGGTGCTTACAAAAACTTAGGTAATCAGCAACAATTTTGAAAGCAATATTTTACGTAGAACTGACTTATTTGAACAGATCAGTGGACACGCGGTTTCGGATCACGACGCCAGACGAATATATTTAAGGTACATACATATTTCCGCCCCCAAAATTTCTCTCTACGATTCAACGATATCTTAAAATCTACGAAATCATTTACTAGATCGATAATTATACAAAAACACTAAATAAAAAAATGCCTACTAAGCATACTTAGTAAATCCATGTTCTGTGTGCATTAAATTCTAGAATTAACAACATTGTTGACTATTGCTAATAGCTTGAGGTTGTTATCGTTTTTAGAACGGACAAGGTGAATTTTTCATGTATTATATATACGTATATATAAATCTTACGCTCTATAACGAATGTTCGCTAGACCCTTTTTGTAAGCTGTCGCCATCTAACGTGTTGTTACACTAGTCCTCTCTTATTAAAGTAGTATCAATATATTAATGATGGCTGTGAGATAAAATATTGTAACAATTTAAATTTATATTGTGTAAATGAAGAAGATATTAAATAGCAACATAACTGATTGCTCTGTCGCAACGAGTCTGCTATCCAACTACGTTTCTCTGTCCATTTATCAGATTGGTTTCCATTTCAACCTTTGTTCGGCCGTATGGTTTGAATATGAACCAAATGTTGTTGACCCCTGATAATTGGGCCTGTATTATTTTGGCACTGTATATTCATGCATGATATAGTTACTATGCAAGAAGTATGGTAGAATGTTATCTCCGTCAATCATAAGTATTACACAGAATTTCTTAAGTAAGTAGTTATGCATATGCTTCTTATTTTTATAGATCACTTAAACATGCATAACATGACAGCTAATCCAACAATATCCAACAATCTAGGTTCTAACAAAAGGACTACTATTACATGCATCCTACACAGTGCCAAATAAAACCAAACGTTTCGATTCAACTTGGCGCGAAAGACGCCTCGATACAACGGGTTGCCAAGTGAAGAAAATTCTAAATTCTAAAAGAGTATAATTCCTTTCAGTCTAAAAGTCTAAATTAACAAAGTATTATTTTCACGAAAATACATCAAATTATTTAAAAAACAATAATTACAGAATACAGACGTTCGATCGGTTTTATACTTTTAAATGGCAACCCAATATTCATGCTCACAGCTTTCTCCGCAGTTGCTCAAATTCTCAGCATAATAACCCCATGTTTCACCGCTTCTAGATTAACCATTTACAAACCACCATATGACAATGATGTTACATTTCCCATGCACCCGGGCGCCATTTTGTGCACCTACCAAAACAAAATGGTGTCTACTCACGGGCTATGTAATGTTATCAGACTGTTCGAAATGTATCACACCACAAAAACAAATTATTTAATATTGTTGATGTTGATTGTTAATAAAATGCAAATAATGTAAATATCAAAATAAATTCTGTATTTGTATTTGAATATTTGTTTTACTTCCACCCTCAACCTATATCGCTGCCAAACGAGTTACAACGACGAAGTCACCTCCTGTGACTTCCACGCTTATATTTTTAGGAAGATGCAAAACCAATATAAGACTTAATTTTAGGAACAGCTGGGTAAGATGAAAACAATAACATATTATGTAAAATATATATATATTTTTAATGTGACGTAGCATTCAACCGAAACTACAGACAAAACACATTCATATTTACATTCGAAAAATAGTGCTTAACAACACAATAATTAATCACAAATGAATTTGAACTCTATCTAAAGACTAGTAAAAAGACTAGAAAGTAATAATACCTTAAGGAAACCTCCCTAGAGTGAGAATATTACAAAAATAGTGAGCTTTGTATTTATGTACAATGTTTCGTGTCAATACGTGGCTTTCAAACGGCACACAAGCTGTAATAAGTCATACCTGGCATATAAACATAGCTAAATACGTGCAACTAACGTTATACAATCCATCCTGACCTAGCTATCCAATTATCACATCAAAAAATATTGACTTACTTCAAGGAAAAACAGACATAAGGCACCTTGTTAAGGAGGATACATTCAGCTAAAATTCAGATTGGGGGCGAGTAGATTTAATGTTTTCTTCAATCATAGAGTAGGTATAGACGGCAGCAGGTCAGTCTTCCTTTTTAGCAGCGAAAATCGTCTTTTCCTCCGAAAATGAGTGTCAGAATTTTATTGAATAAAAACCACACCGTTTTACTCCTGCGCCCGTACCCGCACCCCTACCCCTGCTGAACAACGGTACGCTGTGTGGTTCTGGTCGGCCGATTAGCGAACCTTGCAGCCGAGATCGTCGGCTAAAGTGTGAGGGTGATATCGTACCTACTGTTCTTAATTTTTTGTAATTTCTTGTGTGTTGTGTTGTGTAATTTCTTAATTATTTTTTTATTTGTCTTTCTTCCCTAATAATAAAATTCAAACCTAAGAAAGGAATGCGATAGAAAGAAATGGGTAGGCCTGCTGACGTCTGCACCCTACCTGCAGTTAAATTTGACCGAATACAAAAAGAAAAAGAACCGCACCACCCCGTTACAATATTGCTACAAACTTTGCTATCAAGTCCTCAGTCAGGTTCACGCTACACCTGGCCCTTCATAAAAGGTAATAATACTGTAAATTCTACTTAAGTATAAATCACAATCTTTTAAAGGACCATGTCGTTAGCATAGTGTGAGTAACATTTCAGCAAGGCTCACCAACCACAATTAGATATTGAATAATAAAATCTTGAAATGGCATAGTCAATTATGTTTCACCCTGTCCAACTGAAACATCCCTCTAGAGACCGACTTCCTACTTTTAAGATTGTGTTTCTTAGCAGAACCGACAGTCACCTTTTTCTTCTCTTCTTCTAAAAGCAAAGGCGGCAATGAGACCTTTCTTATGTTATAATGAGATGCAATACCATTCGGCAGCCGGGCGGCATCGCCCTGCGGTATCTCCGGCGTGCATATAGGCTCTAATCTTGCCAAGTCTTTATGCCTTGCAGTTACAACTCTATTATTTATTAACATGTTCCTTTCCGACGCACTCATCGCCATATTCCCGTAATTTCTAGTATCCAACGAAACAAAAGACTTAGCACTATTTCTATCACAATTTAACGATGAATCAGGCCTAGGATTCCTCATCCACTTGGAGGACGCTAGCTCAGACCTCAGAATGGACGGATTCTGTCTCTTTCTATAGGGGCTATGAATTTGTATCGGTGTGATTTGGAGCAGAGAGCAGAAGGCGTCGGGTAAATCAGATTCGTCATTATACATTGGATAGAAGGATACCTTTTCCCTGGACAGCCTGTGTTCGCCCAAGTCCTCGATAGAGACGCGGGGCGAGTTCTGAGGCGTGACATCAGTGGAACTCTGCGAGAGCCGCTCCTCGCTCTCGCTGAACTCTTCGTAGTCGCTGTAATGCATAGCGATGACCTCGTCGTGTTCCATCTGTCTGTACGATAAACGTTTTTCGGGCAATTGAATAGCTTTGCCGACGACTCTGAAAATCAATAAATGCTATTCAAATATTTATATCTTGAAGGACAAATCGCCTGATATTAATTTATTATACGTATGACTGAGTGTCACGGTCGGCCCTTTTACATTTGTATGATGACATATAGAAAAGTAGTTACACTCGTATAGGTAAGTAGGTACATACCTAGTTATACACAAAACAGCGGCTTACAATTATTACACAATATTTAAGTACAATGAGCGAGTAGGTACAAGTCAATGACGGTCTAGTCTCATGCTTCTATAACTTTTCTAATTTAAAATACCTATCCACAAAAATCCGATTGAAAAAATTAAATATACGAAAAGCAGGACTCATTTTGGTTTCAATGTGTCAAAGGTTTAATAGCAACTGTTATTAATCACGACAAAGTGTGGGCTTTAAAGGAATGAATTGTTGGAAATGTATGCTAAGTACGAATTATTTTCTCCGAAACGACGGCCTTGGCCACATTATTTTATAAAATTTGTTCTGAAATTCTTAAATATGTAAAGTACGGGAATGAGCGTCACGTTTTTGTTATTACAGTATTTTTATTTCCATAGTGGTACATGGGCTCTGGGCATGGGCCAGTATTTCCCTACGCAACGCAATAGCTAGGCGACGACACCTTGACCTAATGAACTCCATTTAAAATTACGACTACCAACCACGGCCAGAGGGGTGAATTAAATATTAATTGCTCTATTGATCGAATGTCAAAACCAACAAGATTCATTGTTTATAATAAGCTTTTTGTAGGTCAAAAAAGTTTCTAGGACATTTTTTACTAAAATTCAAAACTTTAAATATAAGCAGTACTTTTTTTAATAAATTCTTTTAAGCCCAAAAAATGTCTACTATTAATGTATCAGCCAATCATAAAAGAATAGGTACCTACCTAACATCTACACTAATATAACATTATAAAGCTGAAAAGTTTTTTTTGCCTGTTTCTTTGCACGCATTACTTTTTGAATCTAGTGGTTCTAATTGATCAATTCTTTTTGTGTTGGATATTCCATTTATCAAGAAAGCTGATGAGGCTACAACTAAAACATCACGCTACGATCTGTAGGAGCCGAGTAGCGGGTCAAACCGCGCAGGAGAAACTAGTAAACAATAAAATTCATCTCATTGAATGTAACTTCAATAAAACACTTGAGTGTGGCAACAAGTTTTGTTTTTGTTAACTATAAGTAAGATGACCACAGAACAACTAGATATACTATTATAACGTAACTGTCATGGATTCTGTCTGTAAATGCTGGCTAATATCATTTTCAATTTGTGCAAACTTTTGAACAGTATAAAATGTTGTTAAATATGACATAGAGTAATAAGTTGCTTAAATGTCAGTACTAGCCCACTTCTAATCATCTGCTTAAAATGATTTAAGAGTGTTTTAGAAAAAAACTAGTCCAGATAGGATAAGTGTATGTATGGTAAATATAATTAGCCAGCAACATTTTACAAATGCACAGATCCCAATATGAATTTTTGAAAGAAATTATATTTATTCTATTGCTTACTATGTAGCCAATGTCTGACCTGAGTTGTGGGTGTAGCTGTCTCCACTGCTTGCACTCGTCAACAATCTGTGGTCTTGTGCACTTCTCCCCATCCTCATTGTACAAAGTTCTCTCAATCCGATCCCACTCAGCTGCCAATGTCTTGGTAGCTTCAGCTGTGCTGCGGCGCAGTGCTGACCCAGAACTACTGTCGCTTTCCTCACTGTGGAAATCTGGAGTTCCTGAAATATTATTACTCATTTAATGCAAGAAAAGGTTTTATAATAATGTGATTTATGTAATCAATCAAAAAAAAGTCCATAATACAACTATTAGAAATATTATTCCAAGATCTTTGAATTTCTTAACTTACAGTTTGGTAATAGTTTAAAAAAAATTAAGTGTCCAAGCATGCTTTATTCTGTTAAAATGTATATTGCCGGCATCATCAGTGCCTCTAATTTATTAGAAAATACCTGGATAGATTTTGTGATTCTGTAGTACTTATATTTTATTTTGAATGGGATGTACCACCCAGGCCACATTCATACTTAAATTGTAATTTTGTAGGTTTTTTGCTAATAAAGATCAACAATCATAGTCTACTTCATATATACAAGTTTTTATTGATACTAGGGCATAGCGTGTGAAATATGAAATTCAAAATTTGAAATAGGTATATTCCATTACAACTACAAAGTTTTTAATATTTTTTGAGTGTCATTAATGCAGGCTCTTAGAAATTTTATTTTCTAGTAATAGTGTCGACACAGAAAATTTTACGTACCGGTTTCACTCTCGGAGAAAAAGTCTGAAAACGGTGTCCCGGCCCTCTCCAGACTGTTTACCATATAAGGTTGCACTTCAAATGAATAATTCAAATTTCGGTTCACAAAACTGCTCGTATTTGCTGACAAGGGCGGCAGCTCCTGCCCCGAACGATAACCAAATTTCTGCTGGTTAATATTTGGCAAACAATCGATTAGTTTACTTATACTTTTTTCCCGTGCCGATAAATAGTTTCGAGCAGACATAATCAAAACGAATTCAAAACAATAAAATTTGCTATTCCCATACTTGTTTTCTAGACTCTTTACATTCGTTTAATTTTCAATTGATTTACGAAGCAATGTCCTAAAAATTTGTTTGGAAATAAATCATCAACACAACAGCCAAAAAATATTGGAAATGTCAGAACTGAGAACAGACAACAGAAAACTTGAAAGAAAAGCTTGACAGCTGCCACCCAGTATTGTATGTAGTTTCGTATTTTCAAAATAATTATAAATTATAGACTGATAATTACCTATTTTATTTTAATGCAAGAAAATTGTTTATTCTATCATTACATTATTGTTATCTTGTTATAAAAAATTATCCATTCCTAATTGCATAAAATCTGATGGTTATATTACCCTGTTAGGTTTTTTTCTTTCGTTTGGTAGGTACCTACCTAGTCTATAAAGAACAAGTTTTCCTAACTTTACAATACTAAATGGTGCACAAGCTATGAACTCAATAAAGACAAAAACTGAACTGAAATGGTGTATAATAATATAGTTCCTTAATTTAATTAAATGTATGTCTATAAAATTGTTTCATTGGTCAACAAAAACTTTTGTCTCATTTCGAATGATTTAAAAATTACTTTCGTAAACGAACATATTTTTTATAATATTTAAACGAGAAGACGTAATATAAATTAATAAATACTGACGCGAAAGGCATTTTACCAACAACTTACAGTTACTATTAAAGAGGTTGCTAGAACGGAACGTATTTATTTGTTTTCCGTTCGCTCTGTCAGCTGGTTGTCTTTCCCTGTCAGTGTGTGACATAGTGTCAAAGTAATTCTGTCATAGCAAAATCGATCGGTGTGCAGTGAAATAGTTCTGGTTCTGAAATTCGGACAGTATTTATTAAACAAATCCTTAAAATGTCGAAAGTAAAAACAAACGGCGGTGATAGCGCCCAGGATGAGGTAAATATTATTGAATAAGTTTATTATGCTCACAATTTTGATTTACTTTGTTTGCCGCCTTTATCAGGCATCTAAAAATGTATTTAGTTAGATTTCCTTTGTTATTTTCCATGAGTATTGGATCAGATTTAAAAGCTAAAGATAAGTGTATTACGTTAGTGCCATAGGAATCAAGAAAATAATTAAAATGACGCAATGCGCCAAACTGCGAGTTGACGACTGCTACATGTATTTATATTTATAGCTGAATGAGTGGGATGATAGCTTTTCTACTAAAATGTTTGCAAAACAAAGTGACATGGATAAGAAATGTCGAACTTCAATCCTATACATTTAAAAATATTCACGTTTATTAACATTTTTTTTATTTTAATCAATAACTTAGTTTTACTGAATAAGTATTGATTTCTAGATAATTTTCTATTAAGATAAATTTAATATAAGTAATGGATAACAAAAGTTAAAGTTGAGAAAAGTAGATTTTCGATTATAAGGTGTTCAGTGCTAATATCTATTGCAGCATTATAATTACTATATTACATATTTTAATCCATTATTCATTGTCAGAGCAGGTCCATCGCAACTAACTTATTTAGTGACACAGCTAAATTATATTTGCAGAAAATATTGATGCCATATACATACATCCAACAAGTACCGGGCAAGCAGATAAGACAGAAGCTTGCTTCTGCATTCAACTACTGGCTGAAGATCTCAGATGAGAAGCTGCGAGCTGTGGGAGAGATTGTGCAAATGCTGCACAACTCTAGCTTGCTGTAAGTCCTTACTATAATGATGCAATAATTAAATTATATGATGCATGCAGCTACTTTTGCTAATTCAGTGGTTAAATTTTTTATTACTATGGCAAAGATTAGATTAGAAGAATTTCTCTATTTTCAATACAGTAATGATAATCATAATCATAATCATAATCATAATTCTTTATTGCATCCACAATGTAAGATAAGATGGTAATATTATGTATAGTAACAATCATGGACCCTGATGGGCACAGCAAATAGTAAATTAGAAGAGAGGCAGGCTTCTTTTGTATAGAATTATGCACAAGTATTTCATATTCTAAGTATGTATAGTATTGCTATTATATTTATATTTTAATAGGTATATATATATTTTTGTATTTTGTACATTATATTATAAGGTTATTCGTTCTAAATTTTATATAAATTTATTGTTATATTTATTTTATTTTATTGTATTAATTATATATTGTTATATTTTTTGTTATAATTGAGTATTTGAGTATTTTATTGTTCAGTTTTTTACATTTAAGTTACTTTTATATTATCTATATATTCATATATTATTTATTATATTTATATTACTTATAGTTTTGAGCAAGAAAAGGTGTTTGTTAATATGGTTATGTTTGAATAAAATTTATATTTTCAGGTTATTTGTTTATCCGTAAGATATTCATTGATAGTGTAGTATGCTTTATTTATTAATATTTGCTTTAGGGTGTTTAGGAATTTCGTGTCGCTAGGCTCATCTTTTATTTTGTTGGGTAATTTATTGTATATTTTGATGCACATTACATATGGGCTATTTGAGTGTAGTGTCATGTTGGATGTAGGTAGCATAAGCATGTTTTTGTGTCTCAGTGATCTGTTGGTGTGTCTGTCTCCGCGCTTTGTAAAGAAGGTAGAGTATCTCTTAACGAATTTACATATTTCTAAGATGTAGATGCATGGAAGCGTAAGTATTTTATGTTTTTGGAAATAGGGTTTGCAACTTTCGGTTTGCTCTATGTTTGTGAGTATGCGGATTAGTTTTTTTTGCAGTATGAAGAGTGATGGTGCGTCAGTGCTGTTTCCCCACAAGAGAATACCGTAGCTGAGCCGCGAGTGCGCATAGGCGTAGTAAGTACTCAGTGCTGTTGGTAGGTCAGTAGTTATCTTTACTTCGCGGAAAGCATAAATAAATTTAGATAGCTTGGATTTAGTGTTTTGGATGTGTGTCTTCCAGTTAATGTGAGTATCTATTGTAAGTCCGAGTAGTGTGAAGTCATCAACAACATCTATTTTTGTATTATTAGTCAAGAAGTTGATTGTTATTGGAGCTTTTTGGTAGGGGTAAAATGTCATTATTTTTGTTTTATTATAGTTTATTTGCAAATTGTGTTGATCCATCCATTCTGTTGTTTTGTTAAATATGGTGTCTAATTGTGTATTTATTTCTGTAACGTTATGGCATGATGTTAGAAGAGAAACGTCGTCGGCAAATAATATACAGGGTTCGTTCATAATTTTTGGGAGATCGTTGATGTATATAAGAAATAACAGACAACCAATAACGCTACCTTGAGGAATTGACGAGTTTAAAATTTGTCTGTCCGACCTTATACTGACTATTTCATTGCTTTCTTGATTGAAGTACTCAATTTCAACGTATTGTTCTCTGTCCTTAAGGTATGACTCAAACCATTGATGGGTAACTCCGCGAATTCCTATTTTATACAATTTGTTAAGTAAGATGTCAAATTTCACTCTGTCATATGCCTTGGTCATATCAAGTAAAATGCCAACTGCGTATTTTTTATTATTTAAAATGTTAATTACTTCCTGAATATACTTATAAACTGCCAGTGTTGTTGACCTATGTTTACGGAACCCATTTTGACCCTCATCAAAGATTTTGAATCTCTCGCAAAAACTATAGACTCGATCGCACATAGCTTTTTCAAAAATTTTTGATCCTGTCGGCAGGAGTGCAATGGGGCGGTAATTGTTGGGATCCGTCTTCGAGTTTTTCTTGTGAATTGGTTTGACGATAGCCCTCTTTAGGAGATCTGGGAATATGCCTTCTTCGAATGACTGGTTTATTAATACGCAAATTGGTGCAGTGAGTTCGTCAGCGCACTGTTTAAATAAGGATGGAGGTAATTCGTCTATTCCATGACTATTTTTATTTTTGAGATTTTTTATTAGTTTGTTAGTTTCGAGGTAGTCTACTGGTCTAAGGAAAAATGTGTTCTCTAACTGCTGAGTTACAGTTATATCACACTGTTGGTTGTTACTTAGGTTCGCGGTATCTTTGCCGATTGATGCAAAAAAATTGTTGAATATATTTACTATTTGTTTAGGTTCAGTATTAAGGACGTTATCGATTTTCAGTTGAATATTTTGCTTTTCAGCTCTAGGATTTTTGTTTGTGCGTTCTTTTATTATTGCCCACATAGTTTTAATTTTGTTTTGTGATGTTTTTATTTGATTTATGTATTGTAGTTTTTTAGCTGTTATTACTGACCGTTTTAGTAATTTTTCATATTTTCTATAGTATTTTTTAATGACTAGATTGCTCGACTTTAAACATAGGATTTTTAATAATCTCTTATTTTTGCAAGATAGTTTAATTCCTTTGGTTAACCAAAATTTTTAATGCTGGCAGCTCTATAAATATAAGAAATACTACTCAAGGTACAATCATAAAAATCATTAAACTTAATAATTTAGCTCTGCTAAACTGGACCATACAACATTAAGTAAAATAAAAATAGAATCAATTTTACTGAATTTAAGAATATATAAATAATCAATGTAGTACAGAAAGTTTAAAATATTTTTATGCCAAAAAACTGGTTTGTTAGGAACATTATTTTATGAATCTGAACTATTCAAATGATAAATTATTTCTGGCAGTTATGCAAAAAAAATCCACACATTAAGAGTAAGGTTACACACCTTACTTTTAAGTGTTATCCAACATGAAACTTTGTATTTTTAAATAATAATACTTAATCATAACCAGCATCTGTTACAAACTTACAAAATTAGGTACCAATTAAGAAATGTAATGTTACACAGAATTTAAAAATTTAAATAATGCTTCATATGACCTGTGGTTCAAACACCACATTTGAAACTCAACATTAAAAATTCAAAAAGATTTAGTTAAAAACAGTATGGTTTAAAAATATGTAAGACATTGTTTGAGGAAAATAGTATAAGTACTCATACTAATATAATTTATTCAAATATTCAGTTTCTTTACAAATGATAAAATGTGATAATGTAATTTGTATGCAACATTTGTTCAGTTCATTCATCACTATTGTTTGGTATTGACTTGTTCCAGTTATTTTGTAGAATTCTATTTGTTATTCCTTTGGCACCTTGTTGTTCTCACTACACACACCTCAAGGACGTTTAAGGAAAGACATTTACTTCCATTGTTGTTGTTCTGTATATGATTATAATAATTGTGAGCATTGTTTGCCACTATGTAACGACTATTCTAAACAAAATACGCCCATACATCATCACTGCTCTAAATCTAAGTGCTCACTGCTGAGCAAAGGCCTCTTCTCACACAGAAAAGGATTAACATTAATTACTGCTCTTGCTCAAGGCGGATCGGCCATTTTAAACTTATACTTCCAAATCATAAGTCCAGCTTTCCTTACAATGTTTTCCTTCACCGTAAGTCAGTGGTGTCTAAATAAACCTAGGAAGCTCACACAACTTTGAAAAGTCACGTTGGTACTTTCTCGCTACTAACTCGCGTCCTGATACAAGATAAGCGTGATATATGGATTTCCTTAAACTCTTATAGATAATTAACTCTTTTTCAGACTAATTCTAGCTTTCATTAACATTAAGATACTTTCCTACACGCATAGCACTAGCTTATTGGCGCCTTGCTAATGTTGCAGCGTAAAGCACAGGCTACCTCCCGTTCAGCAGGACAAGATTGACATAACGTTCTTTAACGCGTGAGTTTTAAATTTAATTAATTTGTTGTTCGGTGATTGGTCACTGTTGTCCTGCTGGGTGTGGTCATTGGTGGGTTAGTTATGGTATGGTTTTATGGGAGAACTTGTTCTTTTGGTCATTGGCTGGGTGAGAAGGTTGGTGTAAGATGATATACTTACGAAAGATAAGTTTGAAAGTAATTTTGGCGTGAATAAATTGATGAATGAGAAATATTAAATGAGATTTGCTTGTTTGTCTGGAAGAAGTGGAATGGGAGATAGTGTGTAACAATATGTATACTGTAAATGCACTCTTGTAAAGTTAAATCTGGTCTCCAATAAATGTCTCGTTAAAATACGATAGTGTGGACTCGGAAATGCAAATTTGCATTATAATTACTACTAGGGCAACTATACTGTCAAGCCCTGCTCCTAAACCATTTTGTAACAATAAACATAGCGATCAAAGCGATCAGTCAATATCATTCAACTGCCACCAAAAAGGCAAATCCAGCTACTGCTAGTGCCGGCGGATGTCAAATTGTGTCGGGACGATAACCCCAACAACACAATATTTTGTTATTAAAAGGTATTTTACAAAAATAGTTTTTGCAAATATGACTGACCCATGCCCATCTAAAATTGGGTTATATCCTCATTGTGCAGTCCTCGGCTATTGTTTCACGCCAGCACATTTAAGAGCGGCCATGAATTATAACGATAACATTTAACTTGCTATTATTTAACTCATCTAAAAAAGCGAAGTCGCAATAGCTCGCAAGTATCCCTGTTTCATCACAATTTCAGTTTAAGTATTTTATAAATGATTTAATAATTCATAAAATACTTAAACTGAAATTGTCGATCCGTTATTTTCATTCTTTATAGCGATTCCGCGCCAAGTCTGATCCGAAATCGACCCAAACCAGAAAATATGGTTCGCAGTATCTACCCTTGAACTATTCCTATAGTAATCTACACAACAAAAAGTACCCCTGATAAGTACCTACCTACTACTTAAATTTATGCTCACGCACTTCGAGCCGTCCGAGTAAGTTCATAAGTGTTAAATGAAATACTAAAATTAAAAAATTTGGATAATACAATACAATGTATAAATAGTATACCTTTTTTATTTCTTAAACAATTTAGTTTTTTAAGTTTTGGTAAGTTTATCAGAAATTAGGTTGAAGTCGGATCGGAACTTCGAAATCGGGCCACCTTTTCTAGATCCGTATTTTCACGGTATCAAGTCGGAATCGGAACGGATATAGTGGAAAACTACTCTAACAAGAGGTAGATAATGTAATTAACAGCCTGTGTAGTTAGTTAATGTTCAAAGAATTTGAGCAAGAGTGCAAAAATGTAGCGTCTATGGAACTGGCGAATTTAGCATCGTTGCGTAAAGGTGTGTACTCAACTTAAAATTATAAAAAACCCGTCGCCGAAAGGGCTGATTTTTCAATAGTCAGATAAATGTTTTCTGCCGAATAAAATTGTTGCTGTCACTATCTTATACAAACCTTCTGACGCGACAGCATCATAATTACTTATTAAAGTTACCCAGGTAACTTTTATCTAACCATTGAAAAATGAGCCCAACCAAAGAATGCGTAACTGCCCTATTCGTAGTCAAATCCAAAGCATTTACTTCAATTAATCCTTAACCAGGCACTTTTGAAACGTTAATATTGGATTGTCTATATAGAAACTACGTAGTTGGTCATCCCAATATCTAATTAAGTATGGAAAATATGAACAAAGAAACAAAATACATCGTTAAGTACTCTTTAAAAAAATATATTTGAAACGATTATTTCACAAAGTTACTACAAGTGCGTTGGTCAATTATTAGGATTTTAAGGGGAGTATTAGGTCTCCGGTAACCTCACTTACACGGCAAAAGACGACAACGTAAGTCTTTCTTCACACTGGTTTCTGTGAGGCCGTGTGGTATCACTCCGGTCGAGTCGGCCCATTCGTGCCTAAGGTTAATTTCTTTGATTACACGCTGCAATTTTGTCCTGTATCGTGGGTGCGTTTATAAACATTAAAAATATCTCAATTGTTCCGTGCGAGATCCGGCCCATCGATTTTGTGATCTCCGGCGTTTGTTCAGGCCACTGCGCGAATTGTCAGTAAGGTAGTTTCTTATTATTTTTATTGATACTTCCAAATCAAAGTCTAAAACAATAGGAACTTTGCCATATCAGCCATATCATTCCACAAATGAGACAATCTTCTGAGAATCGATCGGCGTCCAAACTATTATACAATCTTTTTTACCTATCTAGTGGGCCTTGTTACCTGGATCGATGCCGATGAGACAGTGAACCACGAAAATGAATAAACCAGCTAGGGTTCAGTTGACTTTGACCATATTCTACCTACTAATCTTTATCGGTATTGAATTAAGATAGAAAAGATAATAATGGTTACTTAAAAATGTAATTTAACAATGACATATCGATTTCTAATGATAATATTGAGAAAATCTACGGTTTTAGTCGTGAGTCATGTCATAAATGTAATAGATGACGAACAACAATTAACAAAATAGATAGAGATTAATACGTAGATTACACGTAATTATTGAAATGACTCCTTGTAGTTAGGTACGGGATTCAACCTATCGCCTTTAAGTATAGTTAATGGTTTACAAACTAAACGCAGATGAAGACTCTAGTACCTAAAGACTATAAATATAAAAAACTAGCTATTCTCGCGCGGCTTTAACCGCTGCTCGGCTGTATTTGATCGTAGCGTGATATTTTATACCCTATAGCACTCAGGAACATTATAGCTATCTATCAGTGAAAGAATTTTGGATAGATAACATAAAAGATGGAAGCATCTTAGTTCGAGATCTAGAATCAAACAACTGGGTTAAAACCTAAATAGTTAAATAAATGTTGCGGGGGCAAGCGCAATAATGAATCGCAAAAAACAAGGGAAAGCACGAAGTAGGTTGCTTTTAGTCAGTAAAACACTGCTTGTCGCCCACCCAGGGCTCCTGTCCTGGAGTGGAGAATTTCTCCCGCAACAAATAATTCATTTGTTCATATGAACTTTTTTTTATGGGATAAGTCGGCAAACTAGCAGACGGATTACCTGATGATAAGCAATCGGCGCCGCCCATGGACACTCGCAACACCAAAGGAGTTACGAGTGCGTTGCCGGCCTTTTGAGGATAGGGGTTGCGGATATAAGGATTAGGAAAGGGATAGGGGAAGGGGAGGGATTGGGCCTCCGGTAACCTCACTCACACGGCGAAACACAACACTGTGGGTTGTTTCACGCCGGTATTCGGTGAGGCCGTGGTATCACTCCGTTCGAGCCGACCCATTCGTGCCGAAGCATGACTCTCCCACACTTAGCTTTGCTAACAATAAACGAAGATAAGTTAAGGAATCACTAAACTTACAGTTGCAAATAACGTAGTCTGATGTAATTTAGATTAGATGTTAAGTCTGATATTTCAATGAAACGAACAATATTTATTACTTACTAGGAATTGCAATAATTCAGTGGGACTACGAATTCATTACACGATGGTATTCCCTATCTGCGATCTTGTTAATGGAAGTATTTAGTGGCATCGCTAAAATAAACTCTGACTCATTGGGAATTACGTGCCATACGTGAGACAAATGGCACAGTTGGCCGAAATACACTCCTCATAAAAATACAACATACATATGCCTGTTAGCCATTCCAAGAAATCGTAGGCGTAATATATTAGTTTTTTTATTGATTGTTCCGACTAAAAGCTTTTTCGGACATATGGCGGTGACGTGATCGGCGATGGAGCTTTGTTTTCCTTGTAGGTAAACTTACTTCCATCGTCATTAAAACACTTCCTATAGGCACTCTACAAAATATATTCTTTGTCTAAATTAAATTTACTAAAAGAAACTATACTTATAAGTGGATTTAGCAGTCTAGTTTTAATCTAGTATCTCTATCTTTGGTGGGAATGATATTGTACTCTATTGACAATTAACTAATTCACCTGACAATAAACGAAACCGAAGGAATGAGCACAATGATGAATTTATTAAATAAAAAAAAATCTATATTTACTTTTAGTCAAGGAACTCAAAAATCTGACAACGGGTCCAACTAATAATATATCAACAACATCTTTTCCGACGGGTTGTGGAGGATTTACGGCAATTATGTGCTGATCCCAACCTCGAAACTATTGCCAAGTATTCCCCATTCTGACGATTTGGTTGACTTTGATCCAGAATCGACGACATTCAAGACAACTCAATCCTCCGGCGCGGTATCCCGGTGGCGCACTCCATCTATGGAGTGGCCAGCACCATCAACGCGGCCAATTACACCATGATCGTAGCGCTGCAGAAGACACAGGAGCTTGGTCATCCTATGGTAATAAAGAAGTTAATTATATTAAATACAGACAAGTATTAAATACATAAGGGCTGATTTTTCAACAGTCAGATAAATGTTATGTGAAGAAAAAAATTGTTGCTGTCACTGTCTTATACAAACATTCTGACGCAACAGCGTCATACCTATATAATTATTCCCCGGGTAACTTTTATCTAATCATTGAAAAATCGGCCCTAAATTTTTTGTTAATGACACTATGATAACTACAACTTAACCTAACAAAAACACACACAAAAACACACTCACAAACTTAAAATTAGAAGTTATAAGTCCAGGTGTCCTCAAGATGTTTTTCTTCGCCGTATGATAGTGTTATCTTAATAAACTTCGAAAATAACTAATTGTAACTTGGATAAAATCCAATTAGTAGTTGCCAGGTTTTGTACCCGTATCCTCATGCATAAGGGGCGGGCAGCTAAGCCTCCAGACCACAATGAAAATTCTCTACCTTCGTTTCGGTTCCTTTCTTCGTTATTTGGACTACTTTATTTCTTCAATAAATCTTCTTTTAGAGACACATTGAAATTGCATATAGGTCAATTTTTGTGGTTCTAGGCAACAACAGTGTACACAGAACAACTGCTAGAGTTGCACAGAGGGCAGGGCATCGAGATATACTGGCGAGACAACTTCCAGTGCCCCTCCGAGGAAGAATACAAGGAGATGACCATCAAAAGTGAGATATTGTGTAATGTTCACTACTATTCTATTCTATAACATATCTGGCTGCTTGATTGCCTCATTGGCTTTGTGACCAACTGGAAGCTTGGTCCAAGTTTAGACATGTTTAAGAAATTTGGTGCTTTGAGAAGCCTGCTAAAACTTAACCAACTAATCAGAGGGCTAAACGCGATACCGTTTTGATCGCGTTAACGTCAAAATAACTAGGTAGCACTCAGCACCCTGTTGTGTGTGAGAGGTCGAATCTCGGATTTTTTTTTCGGACATTTTTTTGTATTATATTTGTAAACGCACCAAACGGCACAAGAGTAAAATCTTAAGTATTATTTTAATACCAAGTCTCTGTATAGATTATACTTATCGACATATACTTCCTTACAATATTAGTGACCATTTTTATTTTCATATTAAACATGTTACAGAGACGGGCGGTCTGTTCATGTTGGCGATCCGTCTGATGCAGCTGTTCAGTGACAACAAGTCGGACTTCAGCAAGCTCTCAGCTATCCTCGGCCTGTACTTCCAAATAAGAGATGATTACTGCAACTTACGACTGCAGGAGGTAAGCCAGTATAATAAGGCTCGGAACAAGAGGAGGAATTGGGTGGTTTTTAGTCAAAATCGTATCATAAATCTTCTTGTGTGAAGAAACTGCTTTCCGGTTACGGAGCTATAAAAAATGTAAATTAAAGAAAATCTTAAGTACTTACCTATACCTTTTTAGCATTTGTTCCATATTTACATAGATTTTACATTTATACGTTTTATCGCAATGTCTTGAAAGTTATTATTCTTACGAAATACATGAAATAAATCTAAAAAATTCTTACGGGATAAATAATCTCATCCTAAATATTTTGGTTTTTTATGTTATAATGTGTATATGGTTTTTTTTTAGAAATTGATTTAGAGATATTGGATATCTTTTGGTGCTTAACCGAATTATAACTTTGTGTAAGGATAGTGTAGGTACCATCCAAATTCCGCCAGTTATGTGACAAATCCCATGCAATAAGAGCGTGCAAAAGAAATATAATTTACTACCATAATATTATGTATTTCAGTACACGGAGAACAAGAGCTACTGCGAGGACCTGACGGAAGGCAAGTTCAGCTTCCCCATCATACACGCCATACGGAACCCCGAGGGCGACAACCAAGTGCTTCGTATCCTTTACACAAACATTACTATCTTACGTAATACAAGATGACGGTTGAAGGTTTTTGAAAAAGACTAATTTATTCAACACGTTTCATACATAGACAATATAGGCAATAGACAATATACAGGTTTCAGTTCTAGGCTCATAAATGGCGCTACATCTCAACATTAGACTTTGATAACATTTTAACAATTCTAAATAATAACAAATATAAAAATTAATCCCAAAATGTATTGATATAGTAAGGAGAAGGTCCTTGTGAAAGAAAATTTTAGAAAAGTGTAGAGAAACACTTTTGTTCATAATAACATTATTATTTTAAATATGGAATTATAATTGTGAGAAAGGCATGCTTCGACACGATTGGGGCGCCTTGACCCACGAGCCGACCGCTATCTCTTCGACTACTACCAAAGGGGCCCAGTTTAACCATAACTCCCTTAAATAATTACCCCAAATGTTTCTACAAAGCTTGTAGTCACTGTAGATTCTAAATAGCACGGGAGTAAAAAACCTTTGTTTATTATAATAGCATTCGATTATACATCTGGGGATCTATGAAAATAGTTGATACTAGATTTAAAATAAAGAAAATATTATGTTAACATCAAAACAACCAAGTAATTTTCCTTAGAGTTAGATAGATATTCTACGTCAACGCACACGTGACCTGGAAGTGAAACGGTACTGCATCACCATACTGGAGCGACTCGGCAGCTTCGCGTACACGCGCGAGACCTTGCATGGACTCGACGAGGAGGCCAGGAGAGAGGTACTACTAATAGATTAAAAAAAAATATATCCCACTCTTCTGCTATCTATCTGATACAGAACTGAACTATTTGAATTGGCTAAACTATTGTGCAATGCGTGTATTAGATGCCTTTACAAGTATACAATTTCTTACCTTCACCCAGACGTAGAAAACAGTTTGTGGATCACACGCACACGGACGCATTTTTTAGAATCTGACACAAATTACAATAAGGCTTTTTTGTAGATAGAAAAAACAGTAACAAAGTAGCCATTATTTAAGATAAGGTAAAAAATTTATACGCTTGTTACGTTCCAGGTGGCCAGGTTGGGCGGCAACCCTCATCTAGAAGCTCTCCTGGATGACTTACTCAGCTGGCGACGAGAAATGCCACTCGAAAAACTTGACAACAACGTATAAACCAGTCGGTACGCCTGTACGCCATTACGATCGAAGATAACAAGGAATTTAATTAATATTAATTATTGAAACCCTGTCACAATACTAGTTACAAACAATTCATTGAATGGTTTTTTCCTCAAGAAATAACTGATGTATAAACTATCGCTGGTATGGCACAACATAGACTCATATAAGACATTTTTGTGTCTCATATATAGGCATTGAATGAGGTTAAGAAATTTTAAAATGTATTGCGATATGTATATATGGCATACCAAATACAATTCTTAAAACAAATTTGAAACGTAAGAATATGAATAATGAGAAAATCTCTTTGGTTTATATATTTAAAATTCAAGGTTCTTTCGTAATGGCAGTACAAGTGTTGAATATAGTAGTAGAGAAACCTTTTTTATACATTTTATTTCAGCACTCTGAAGAGGAATTTTATCATCATGTTTAGCAAAAACTAATTAAAAACTAAAAACTACATATCTCTTGCTTTTGCCCTTTATGTGTGTCAAGTGTCGGAATAAAATGTATAAGAAAGCCACCCCAATGATTTAAATTATTATTTTGTAAATCCTATTTAATTATTTGTATCAGAAATTTAGATTGTAGATGTAAAGACCATCCATTTTTTTTGTCAATCAAAACAACGATTTTAAAGCGATAATTTAACATGTAAATATTTTATTGTATTTTTTTTTAAATTCAGTCATTATGATGCGTTTTACATTCCGAATGTTTTAATTATGAGGTGGAAGGAGTCAGGTTTAGAATAGACAATAAAAGACATTTTTCAAAGCTATTTGTGCTTACGTCTCGAAATTCTTGTCACTTTGAATGTGCTACATACATTTTATGGAATTGTTACTTTTATATAAACATAGTTTTATTGGTTGCTAAAATTTTTATCTTCACTTAAAGTGATACTATTAAAACCTAGATATTTTTACTAGCAATTTTATCAAATAAAGAATTTTATTGTAAATTTAATCTATGGTTTATCGGGCACAGAATATAAATTGTGGCCCCGCGATTGCACTGCCATCTATAACTAAGATGACGTCACGAGTAACTCTTGCTTTGTAACATTTGCGCGTCAACGCATACTTAAACCGCTTTGTACTTATGCACGATAAATGCTTAAATAGAGAAGCTTCGTTATTTTGTATTTAAATAAAACTCATGTTTTGGTTTAATTTGCTTTTTTTTTCACCCGTAACTATGAAATTGTATTAAGAATTGCTACATTATAATTAATGATATTAATGTTCTATTAGAATTATTAATAGTTGCGGTTGGAATCTCTAAGACAATGGTATTAGGGTTGTTCTGTATTATATCCTATTTTAAAAATGTTGTATTATTATAAAGTTAAAAGACCTATCTACAAATTGCCTATACATATGACCAAAATGTACGGAAATCATGGAGTTAGGATGTAGCTTTTTAGAATTATTAGCGACGTTGCAGTAGTGTTTAAGTAGTTGTTTTAAATAGTGATTTCAGAATGATTGAACTTTATATTATTATCAATCGTCTAAATACACTTGTATGTGACAAGTGTTGAAAACAATTAAATGTTTGTGATTTCAATTTAAACAAAAAATAATGCTTCTATCACAAATAAAATTTCTAAATATAAATTTAATTTGCATAATTTGGGCCTCATTTTCGAAGATGTGATGCAATGCATGGTATTCTGGCATCCCTCGTACACTGTTCATATTGGTTTCCGTAGACGAGGCCTTACAGTCTTCTTTATTCTAGTTATCATCCTGTACTTGTATCCTATTTAGTGTGTGTTTAATAACTAACTTGACATACGCTAGACAATTGCTTGCAATGTTTGAACATTTTCAGCAGCAAAACTAATATTTAAGAATTAGCTTGTTCTTGTTGGTGTAGCTTGGCTAGATAGTGTAGGAGTGTGTTTTTACTATTTAACATTATTGTATTAAAATGGCAGCCATTTTATGCACCTTCAAGGGGGATGCTTCACTTCATTTAAAGCTGTAAAACGTTTCACGACAACCTTCTCCATATCACAGAGTTATCATGATAGCTATAACAAGATTACTTGTGTTATCACATACGTACATTGAAGCGTCCACCTAAATCGTTATTTAAGGGCGAGGTGTCAATTAATTCTAAAATACTTCACTATAGGCCTATGTATGCAGTACTCAATCGGTTAGGAGTAAACGAAGTCGATATATATTTTTTTTGTCTTTAAATTTTTTTAACTGTTCCTGTTACCAAAGCCTAATTTATGGAAACAACGCGCCTTGTTGTACATTGCTCATTATGTTAGTGTTTGCGCGGGCGATTATGCTGCCCTTTACTGCCATCTACGACGAACGCGCACCGCGCTGCTTCTCCATAAGCGTGGCCTTAGAATTGATAACATTGCCCAAATATTCTATACCTTGATTATAATCTTGTTACTGTATTATCTATTTGTTTGTAGATAATATTCTTTCTATGATAATGTACTTACATTTCGAAGTAATGTATTTTGTATTCATTTTACGATTATGTAGTGCCATTATGTAACTTTGCCTATTACATAGTTACTATTTGAAATTAATAATGACAAACACATTCCACAAATTAGATATTTTGCTGTTAAAATTAAAATAAAATAAGCTTAATCGATTTATATATTCCTGGTTGATAGATATAGAATTTTCTAGAACCTAGTTTAGTCTAGGTGAGTACTTAATAGTCATATAAGGCTAGCCAATAACGACAATAATAGCTTCGAAATAATAACATGTAGAAATTATTTAAAGTTGGAATTGTAGTTTTGGGGTTGTCAATATAATAAGCAGACATATTTTACACACGTATGTCACAAATAAATAAAATTTGGCGACTGTTATAATTTTATTATATAAACAATTGATATATTTGTCCAGCTGTATACATAAATATGTGCTTTTCCACCATAGCAGACGATATATGTAACTGGTGACATCATGTTTCCTTTGTAAATGCTTAGTACCTATCCAATGATTGTCTCCAATTTTAATTGTCATTCGTTATTATTACGTTTTGTTACATTTTATGTTGTTTTTAAATATATTTTTTTCGAGTGATTATTGTTTTTTTATTTATTTAGATTGCATACTTTGTTCGGTTTATCGGTTATTGACATAAGTAATAGATATTTATGGTCAATACTCATTGTACTTACCTAATTATTTTATTGTATATTAAATATAATATGTAAGTATTATCGATTTGACACGCTTTGTCTTCCAAATTGACAATAACTATGCTTATCTATTTATACTATTATTAGAATTTGTAAATAAAAATACAAAATTCGACAGGCCTTGAAGGACATTGCTTAATATATCAATGTATACGTTCTTATCCGCCATTTAAAACATACCTATAACAACTCTATCAATGCCAGTTTCTGGTGGCATAATAATTTTATTTCTTTTATCATAACAATACTGTTACTAGAACATACTAATCCGTTGAACAGCCTAACACTGGTTGTATGGCGTTGTACAGAACAAATACTTGTTTGTTACAATTGCACTACCTTTAGTAGGTTCTGTAATGTGTGTGTAAAAAAACTACCGAAACATATCTAACGGATCAAAATAAAGCTTTGTGTGAACTGAGATTAGTATTATTTATATCCCAACAGATATGAGTGGCTTTGCGCCAATCTTCGACAATCATCTGTTTTCTTTATCAATATTATACCCTATCAATCAAAACTAATCATTATTGCAATAGGAATCCAAAAAGTTGCCGAGCTGGCCTACAGGTAAAGCAACCTCATTTTTTGTCAGGGGAATAACACCCAATCATCAAATGATTTCCACTCAAGGTGGGGCGGGAGTGAGTGTCCGACTCTTACTGACTAACCCCCTCCCCTTTCCTTCTCCTGCCGAGGCCGCAGTGACATATTGCGCTTGCCCTGCAACCCCGGCTGAACATCAGCCCTATATCCATTTGAGGTGATCTTTTGGCTCTTTGAGGCGCGCGCGCAACGCAACGCGCCGTACGTTCGGGTTTGGTTCTGGTCGGGGGCGCCTTACCCCTACTCGCCGTCCACGGTGGCCGGAGATCATCTCTCGATTCCCGGCGCCCAAAGAGGATAGCCAATCATAATTTCTCCTTTAATGTTCTTCACACGTCGACGTGTTATTTATTGCAGGAAATAAGCATTGGTATAGCAATCAGTAGTAAGACAAAAGACCTAAATGGAGATCCTAAGTAGATAAAAGTTCTTGTCCTCGAAAATGATTAGTAGTCGACACCTGTATAGCCGATTCCCAGACTTCTGTGAATATATATAACATAATAATATGTGAATGAGTTTATTGCAGCAGTGGCATCAATAGATACACATGCACAACTGTTTTACACTATAATGAACTTCCTAAATTTTCTCGTTTATGAAAGCTTGAAGATAAATAACATAGTGTTGTACATATTGTACTGTTTGAACAACAACACACACTACTTACATTGCTTTCCTACTTTACTCAGGCTTGAAATTCATATTCAGGGTGAATTGAAGTGAAATGAAGAAATTCATATTCTCATAGAACTCATTCTCGATTGAGGCATCCTTTTATTATCAGATTGGTACCACACCAGTTCTCTAGCAGGAATTTGTATTTCCGCACATAGGAATAAAACACTGAATCTTGTTTATGTACTTTATTAATATTTTTTACAGTTGTCACAAACTACAGCACTGCGACTCTACAAGTCAAGGTATTTCGTTGGATCAAAATGCTCCTGAACCGTAATATATCAACATAAATAAAACTAACATTACAATTAAATTATGATTTATATTAATTTAATTTTTCTTCATAAATCGTCACATTAAAAGAATATTACATTTTAAAAATCTAAAATCATATACAAATAATCTCTCTTATTGAAACTAACAGACGAAAAAAATCGAAGTTGATTTTTAATGGAAAATATGATGTCTGTATCACAATGTTATGGACACTTAGTTCCCCAGTAGATTCACTAAATATACATAAAGTTACATTTTTAAGCATTTTTTTTTGTTTCAAGAAAGCAAAAGGTTACGTTATAAAAGCTATCCTCATAATATCAAAAGCCTCAGTACGTCGCTATGCGTTAGCTAGAATGCTATCGAATACCAAAATTACAAAACTCCATCAAAGGCGTATATCGAAAGTCTAAGACACTGCGAACAAACCTAGTGCTTTATTGAAATATTTAAAATTACGCTCCATTGACGCAGAACATGGCTTCTCATATCACTTCCAATTGTTTGTCTAACATTATTACAATCAAAATGTTGGCAAGTCACAATTAATCAGTCATTTTTGTTATTCGACTTTGAGTTGACACTCGTTCGTAATAAAGTTTAATCTTATTAGTCAAAAAAAACATATTAAAATTGTCAAAAATATAATATATGAAGGAACTTACAATGCCACAAGTTATATGTGGCTTTTCCGAGGTAGGTTAGCAGCATTGACTGATGTCTGCTGAAGTAGAACTAGCCATATACTGCACAACTACCTCAACAACTAAACATAAGGTTAATTAAATTTAATATAACTTTGTTAAACACTAAAAAAGCGTCAATAAGAGAAGCATGTTTCGCATTAATGGAATGTGCACATCTATAAAATATATTACAATTTAATATCATAATAAAATTAATACGAATTCATTAGCACACTATAGTAAGAATTAATAATAAAACGTCCATCGTTCACACTTTATTACAAGAATTGTGATTTTATCATAAATATGTATATAGTTGCTACTAGTGATGGGCCGGCCATCGCGCTAGTGATGTTTGTGTATTTCATTACCTTGTATATTGTAAATAGAATAGAATAAAATAATAAAATATCAATTCTTGTCAGCACACAACATTCGTCTTCAGATGTACCAAATTATTCTGGCCGTACATATTGATTGTGATTGCGTATTTTGAGTTACAAGTACCTTAGTAAACATTTTATGTTACCTGTAATTTTAGAGTTCAGAAACTTAAAGTTACAAGTAAATAATAGTCACTTATATTATGTAAGCACCTCATCTTTTAAAACTATGAAGTCTGAATAAACGTCTATTTTAGGCGCGAAAATTTTGATCCACCTAAGCACAAAAGCTACAAAATACTCCATGACTTTTAGTAGTTAGAAGATAATCAGGTAATTGTTTTATAATGAATCACTTGACATTTAGCCGCGATTAGACATAAAACAACTGCGCGAATGCACTTGGAAAAGGCCTTGTGTATATGAACAAGTTCCATCTACAAAGCACAAACGCCAGAACGCCAACCTATACCAATCTGTTAAATTTCTGTAAAAGATTTTCAACTTAAACGTTTTGTCATAAAGTCGAAAGTCTATTGTAGAACATTAACAGATTGTTATAAGTAATCATTGCTGCTGAAAACATGACTAATTACAATAGAGGCATGAAGTATAAATGTATGTATGGAGCATAAATCCTAGCACGAACGATGGCTAGATTTTATCGTGGTGGGGGTAAGTCCGCGTATATCTCATTAGCTATAAAATAATGAGAAATTAAACGAACTTGCCCTCACCATTACAAGATCTGGCCATGGATCGTGTCTGACCTTACATAGAGGTTCAAAATACTCAATCACAAAGTCCGTGTGGTGGGGCGAGCGATGCGCGGTGCAGTACGTGCCAGCGAGCGCGGCGAGGCGGCGCCTCACGGGATCCAGCCCACCACGTAGCTGCGGCTGCGGGTGAACTGGGTCAGTCGTCTGATGCGACCGCCTGTAATACACATGTAGCCTGTTAAAACATGTACACAGATCCTTTGATCATCTATGATGAAACGTTGACGATAAAGAACATAAGTACTGTCAATTTCCTTACATAATCTATACTAGAGGTCAATTTATGTCTGGCGACTATGGCGAGACTAGGGCAAGATCTTGCTCGCCCGCAGCACCATGATAAAAAGTAACCCATCGAGATAATTTCACACTGTAATATATCTCTATGCCAAATTTCATTCAGATATGTTCAGTTATTTATTTATACTTTAATGTCCCTATAATTAAAAAAGGTACAGAAGGCGGACTTAATGCCATATAGAATTCTCTGCCAGTCAACCTTAGGGTTTGTGAAATCTGCGAGACGAGTCACAATAAACATCCACCCACCCATACTTACAAACATTCGTGAATTTACGTAAGGCTAATGCTTATAATAACCATAGTTTACTTAACAATATTAATTTACGTAGCAACAGGACAGAATATTTTCTGATATATCCCGCTTCTAAATTAAAACCAAATCAATATAGCAGAAAATAAAACTATTTTATAAGTATGTCAGTAAGCATAATATGCAAAAAGCCATATGACATGTGACTTTTACACCTTATTACTATAGATAATAAATATACAAAAATACACAAAATATAAGAATACATAGATACATTGGAGGATAAGTGTAGAAAATAAATAAAATAATATTTAATGTTTGAAAGAAATACAAAAATGTGTAAGTATGTATTTATAGAAAAGTATATGTAGATATTTTGTTATAATTATAGGGGATAGAATTAAAAACAAATTAAGAATTATATTTATACTTTGGGAACTTTATAAATTAGTATATAAAGAATAGGGAATAAAGAGAAATGGGTTGCGATATGCATGGAATAATGCAATCATGCATAGGGTAACATTGAAAAATTGTGCTGGCAAAATGCATACAATATTTTTTGTACATTTCAAAGAACCTTCACAAACCTTATTTCATCTGGTCCATAGATTTGTCTAGAAATATTTGTAATGATAGTAATAATTATAAAAAAATCCTTTAGAGTCCATAATGGTAATAGGCCTTCTATGCTTGCCCTGCAAGATGCCATCATAAAAAAGTATTTATAGTCTGATCTGACAAAACATTATTTTAAAATAGAATGATTTTATCCAGATACCAATTCTTGTTCAGTAAGGTACCATACATTTTAGCAATGGGCTGTGACAAAAGATTTTAATAATATAAAATTTTAATTAACCAAGTATCTCACATTCAATGAATCCAAAGCTGGGAAAGCAGAGGTATATTACAAAGCATCAATAATTTTAAGAATGAAGAAGTAAGAACTCACAAATATTGAATATTATGAAAAATAAAATGCCAATAAATTGCCAATGAATTAGAATGAAATGAAAGCAGCTAGAAATTTTAATCTTTCTAATAAAGATATCTATTGGAAATGACTCTGAATGTCATAGATATTGAATAATATGTATTTGAAACTTACCGCGTGCGACAGTTCAAGGCTCTAAGCGCTGTTCTGGCTCCGTCTCTGCTGGCGTACTGCAATGCATACACACCGACACGTGTCACACATTTATACACATACATTTACATCACCGATGCTCGCTATTATGGGCATTATGATTATTGACTGAAGAAGCATTTTTGCTTAAATTTTACTACTGAGAAGAAATATTTATTTATTCTTATCATAGAAAACCATTTTTTTATTGAGAATAAATGACAGATATTAGGTCTGCAAGAAACTTTTAATCAGTAATATTCTCAACAACAAATCAATAAATGTAAAACCATTTGTATCAGATGAAGGAGTCTGGAACTCGAAACAGTAATACAAGATATATTTAGACCACTCGAGCGGCCATATTCATATAGCGAACATCGGTAATCGTGGGGTTCATATAGAAATAAATCATAACAAAGGATAAACATATATTAACAATCAATCGTTTCAATCAACTTCATAGCACAAAATACACAGTAGAAAATTCATATCCATGCTCATTATGTTTCTTGTTCATGAATTTTAGTATCAGAACATTCCGCAAACAGTACAGTTAGTAGTCACAACCATGCGTATCATTGAGTTCAGGAAAATATATCTTTTTGTTTATGGTTCTAGTTAATAGGTGGTAAACAAACGTTTATGACTATCCTGTCGCAGCTGGGACCCCATAGCTGGACGAAGGCTCACTAAGCAATAAAATCCTGATTAGCTTAAGCCTTTGCGCTGTAAAAACCGTTATTTCCCGAAAAACAGCACGGCACTATCGTATTGGCCATTTACATTCGCGCCAAAACAGATGACATTTTACCAATTTTATGCGGCCATTTCTATATATTATCGGTCTGTTCTACGTTCCCCTCACTGCTAGAAATTAAATTGTTAACTGTTAAAGTTTGTCATAAAAACACATCAAAATATTAGTTTTGTTTTATCGCAGAGATTTTAAAGGAAAGAGTTTAAAAGAAAAATAAAGTAGACAGTATTATTTATCAGAGTTATAAAGATTTTCAGATTGTTAAGTCTATAAATACGGCATTTTAGACATTTTGGCGTCATCAATGTCATATTCGACTAGGTATCTGAGTGCAGTTTTATAAAACTTGTATCAAGTATTCAGATACTGACAAAAGCATAATATTTATAATAATTAATAATGATAAACCTTTGTTCCTCGATTAATTTATGGGAATTTGGTTTAATCATATTTTACGGTATGTTTCACATTACTATTATTACTTGTTAGTGTCTGTCCCATAAAACTGCACGTGGTGTGTATGTGTAAGTGTTCACTCAACAGCCTGCCTTGTAAATAGAAGCTGTAACAAAAGCGTAGTGTTGTTAATGCCGTGCCAACAATGTACCGTGGGCCTGACCTCCTGCCTATTGGCTACGCGCGCCCTTTGCCAGTTGGTTAAAGAATCTGAACTGAAGTCGCAGCGTTAGGTCTTTCCGTACTGGAATGGAACAACATATTTCTCATCTACTGTTGCATACATGTGTCTTTTGTTTGTCGCACATGTGAATTAGAACAATTTCACAAAACATTACATCTTTAAAATTATGGAAATGATATATGATAGACTTCACAATGTCAGACAAAAATAATTATAACATACAGAACAGAAACATAGACAATCGTATGTATGTCTGAAGAACATAGACATGCAACCTTATGGTTACAGAAGACAGGGTAATCTGGAGGTACGCAGACATGAGAGGCTGTTCTATTAACATTGTCGTACGTAGACTTCTGGGCCAAACACATCTATATACCTCAGATAATGTAGTGTTCCTCTCTTCTATAAGAAACTTGACTTATGAAATGCATATTGTTCGAATTCACATAAACACTGTTTGGTGTAAAATCTACAGAAATAGAGTGGGGTCTTGGGGGGGCACACGTGTGGTGTGAGTTCCAATTAGTCGCGGCTACTCACGAGTGCGGGTTGGGGTTAACGTCAGGCGGGGACGCCTTCACGAAGCGTTCCACTTGCTCGCCCGTAGGGAGGCTTTGCTTATCCGAGCCGTCTTCCACCGTGCCTTCCGGCGCCGGGGCGAGGCGGTCTTCACTAGGTACTACAGTCTCAGTCGGAACCGGTTCAACTAGTTGTGTATTCGTTTCTGGTTCCAATTTCCCATCGCCAATAGTAATGGAGGTGGGTCTGTCGTCGGGCTGCGCCTTGGTCTTGACTGTGAGCGAGGTCTCGACAGTCTCGGAGATGACGGGCTTGGGTTCCTCGCCGGTGGGGGTGAGTGCCTCCGCGCTGGGCGGGGTCATGTTGAAGAAGCTGGAGTCGATGCCGACGGCGGGCGGGGGGCCGCGCGGCCGACGCGCTTGTAGGGACGCGCTCGCTTTCTTTAGCACTCGACAATCTGAGCGCGAGAATCGATCCCAATTATCGATGTGCTTGTGTCTAACGGGTAATCGATTTATCGATTGTTACGAGTACGACATGTTAGTTTATTCACATACGCTACTGATATCCATGACAATGCATCATCACGTTATAGTTAATTCGGTACTTACATGTCAGTTAACACAAGATGGTCGTCTTAACATTAATCGACTGATTGCAAGAATAATGAAATACATTTATGTAATCTTTCGTTTAAAAATACTATCAACAAAATAGTCTTCGTGCCGCTTCGCTGTATCTCAGACTCGCATTAGACACAAGCTTATAGTGTATATACAGGATGTTCTTCATGACTTGGCCTCCATATATAGGCGGTTAATAAAGCTGAGGATGGGCAGTTGTCGCAAAATGCGCCATACGTGCATATGGAGGGGACGTGTTAATGTCAATAGTATCGATGGTGGGTAGTAAAGAAATGGGAATGTTTACGGTAGTATATTTGCGCAGGCGCCAGCCCGGGCAGCGCCCTACGTCTGTCATCAACAGACATGTGCTGTTGATGTCAGACGCTGTGGATAGTCCAGACAAATTACAACAGTTTGTACAAGATTATTACTATTTTGGGAGATCGGAGACCTATTTAGAAGTGTCATATAAAGAGTAACGACATGGCATATCTGACAATCTATGAATGTGTGTATTGTTAATAGACAAATGTTTGCATGTAAATAATAGAAGACAGGGGATACTGTTTTAAGATTGATTATTATATGTATAATAATCTTTAACAAATATTGATTATATATGTAAATATATATCAATCTTTATATAAATTATAATAATCTTATACATAACTGCATATGTCCGAACCACCCCAATACATTTCAAAATGACAATATGAGTATCGTATATGAACGTGTTACTTGCCGCTTGTTGCACGCCATAGTGAGCTTTAACGTGCATACATAGGAGTGAGAGTTGTATGCAAATTATATGTCATTCGTGATTGTAGCCAATGACATGTTTGAACATAATATAGATGAGTATATTTGAATGTATATAACATTCGTTAGAGTATAAAATAAAGAACCTGTAATAAAACTGTTAGATATTCATCGTTTGAGATATTTTATGAGCATATTTTATTGTAAAAGTAATTATTTTATTCGATAGAAGTCCCGAGACAATGGCTTAAAATTTCAACAAGTTCCTGTCTTCGACATAGAGTTGTTTGTAAATGATATCGCCTTAGCATTGAATCCCTAGCATCATGAACTACTTGCTATACAAATATTCGATTAATTCGTCGTTTTACTTACACATATACCCGCAATGCTCATTTTGTATCATATTATCTTACTACCTGTGTGATTGGTAGAACTATAACTTTGTATAATTTCCTTAGTAGCAGTCATAAAGATTCTTGCGTAAAACATATTTGCGCAATTTTTGCTGCGCAAAACCTTTGCGCAATTAATTATTTCAATACTTGCGCAAAGATGCGCATTTAGTACGAAACACATTTTTTGAACATAAAACTATTTCTAAGCATCTGATACGAGATAATTTCGGGCACAGCGTATATTAGTATAAGTTCTGACGATATAATCAAGTAAAAGTATAGCAAGTGATTGCACGGGTGCGAGGTACTCACTTCTGTCGATGTTCCTCTGCAGATGGCTGGCGATCCTGTGGCGAGCGTCGCTGTACTCGAGGTGCAGGCCCAGCCGCAGGAGCGTGGGGTTCTGCTCCACCAGCGACGTTATCTCCATCTCTATCTTGTTACCCAACACTTGCGACCGCTGGAACATTATGAATATTTGTTTAGAAAACTTTTGATGACGTTTACGTATTAGCTACGAATAATAAACTGCTATAAATGCTTTTCTAGTTTTAATTTCAAAAACAACGGTTTTGAAATTGAAGTTGTCGTTAATTACACCGCTTTACCAATACCTAACCACCTAAGGGCGCTTGCAACTTCTTTGGTGTTGCGTGTGTCCATGGGTGGCGTCGATATCCATGTTTACCACCAAGGGATTTTTTTACTATATTCTATAAAAATCTTTACCTCCGCAACTTTGTCTTAACTATTGCTACTACTTGCGCTTATTTGTGCTCACCTGCGCAAATATCATTTTGACCTGCGCTAAACATATGGCGCTTGGAGCGTGAATAGAGATGCTGACAGACCTGGTTGGAGGCGCGGAACTCCTCGACGACGTGAGTGTCGAGCAGGGCGCGGACGAGCTGTAGCAGGGCGGGCGGGGAGATGAAGTTGGTCTCGACGTTGACGACGCGCAGCGCCGAGTTGACGCGCAGCGCGTCGGCCAGCAGCGCCGCGCCGCGGTCGCCCAGCCCCACGTTCACCAGCGACAGAACCTCCAGCGACGTGTTACTCTTCAAACCCTCGAACAACTTCTCGAACTTCTCCTCGCTTATGTTCTGTATACAGGCATACAAGATTTAACGCTAGCCTACGAATTGACTACTACGTTCTTAACATGTAAAGGGTAACACGGTAAGTGTGGGAGAGCCAAGCTTCGGCACGAATGGGTCCGCTCGATTGGAGTGATACCACAGCCGCCTCACAGAAAACCGGCGTGGAACAAACACAGCGTTGTGTTTCGCCGTATGAGTGAGGTCCCCACGCCCTCGCCCATCCCTTCCCAATCCTTAAATATCCAAAACCCTTATCCCTAAAAGGTCGGCAACGCACTCATTAGTCACATGGGTTTGCGTGGCCAAGGGCGGCGGCAATAGCTTACCATCAGGTAAACCGACTGCACGATTGGTGCGGTGGCTGGGCAACTGACTGCCGTGCAACGTGTTGCGGGTTCGATTCCCGCACGGAACAACAGTTTGTGTGATCCACAAATTGTTGTTTCGGGTCTGGGTGTGATGTGCATGTCAAATTGTATGTTTGTAACCGCACCCACGACCCAGGAGAAAATCCTAAGGTGGGGAAGGTTTGTTTCAAAAAAAAAATGCCTTATAGTTTGCCGACCATTAAAAGACATTTAAAAATACATCATTTAAACTATCTCTTGTATATTTATTGGAAGTGCAAATGAAAAGGTTAGGTCAACTATACTATATTTAATATTGTATGGGGACATGTTCTCACCTTAATATTATTCCAATTGAGATCAGTGAGCTTCTGGTCATTCTGTTGCACCCGCTTGATGGTCTCGTCGGGGTCCGTGTCGTTGGGAGGGTCCATGGGGTACACCTGCAATTACCATACATCGTACATTAATACTTCAGGATCCCCTTATACAAATTTTGTATTGAACGTAATATCCCAATATCAGGTATGCTATATTTTGTAATAAAATTCTATACAATTTTTTAAAGTACACTGAATGAAAATTAACAAGTCTAGGAATAATTAGTCCATATTTTTTTTTGTATTTATTCGCCTTGTCTGTCCTATGAACCTCTCTCTAGTAATTTTTTTTATTACCTTGGGTTTGGTGGCTTTTGTGATGCCGTCCCAGCCGAGTCCGACGGGCTGTCCCTTGTTCAGCAGAGACGCGTGGTACTGATCCTGGTTCATCATCGAGTGGAAGCCGAGGATAGCTGGAATATTACATTACTTGTTTTATATACTATATAAATACTCTTTGTTATAATTTTTCAATAATTGAAGCATTCAATATAGTAATTCGAGGCATGATAGAAGAACGGTGCGCGAACGCCGCCTGATTTGCGCTTGGAGCTTGATGAATTAAATACGAAAGTCTTAACCAATTGCTTTGAGAATGCAGAAAAACAAATGTGGGATGAAAAAAAATATATAGTGTAAATATAACTACTTAACTCAATACAAGCTACATAATAGAATAATTTCTGAGTGTAAATAAAAAAGTGGGAATGCATTTCTTATTTTCGAAAACCATTATTTTTTTCTTTTACAAGTGACTACCATAATACATATTCATGTCACTGACAAAAACATATATCAACGTCAAATTTCGACATCGAAATTTTGACGCAAAGTAATGACTCTCAAAAGCACATATTACAAAGAAAATCAATACATATTTCTTTCATCAAATTCCAGAAACGAGTCAATTATGAAGACAACATAATCTATTATGTAATCTTCATACAAAGATAAAAATATTTTATAGACAAAGACTAGAGTTCGGATATTGTTCGCGTTGCAATGAACTCGAGACAAAGCTGGACGGTCGCCAGGGTAATATGACGGTGCTTATTGTCATTACAAGAGAAAATTTCCTGATTTCAGTCATCATAAATATTATTTATGATGACTGAAATCAGGAAATTTTCTATCTGTCGTAAGTTCTCGTTTATTCTGATGGTAACCGTGTCAGTTGCTAGCTAAGTATTCCGAGGCTACAACAGGATTATTACGATATGTGGTACTGGGTTAGTTGAGCAAACATCTACACTGCCAAAATTCTGTGCTGTAAGCCCTGTATGTCTTCTACAACAATATTAGAATGTATCACTACTGACGTACATCTTGTATTCAAAATAGTATTGTAACACGTCAAACATTACAGTATGACAGCGAAACTTACCTTTATTGCTTAGAAGTTGACGTCGAAAAGTTATCAATGCATATCAACGCGTGAATGAGTTTTCAACATTTAAATTACGGAGGTGGCAGTAACTAGTAGATTAAATTTAAACAACCCAAACAAACTAAAACTAATAATTTATTATCATACTTGCGCTAACTTTAGCGCAACAACTTTGCGCATCACAAATATTTTGCGCAAGTTCCTATTTATAAAAGTTTTGAAAATATGAAGTACATACCAGCCAGGTCAATGATCTCCTCTTGCGAGGCATCAGTGAGGGCCTGCTCGTACTCGTCTCCGAGGTCGATGGAGATCTGTTCGTCTGCATCACGCACCTTCTCAGGCGCTGGAGGCGGGATCCACTGGAAACAGGAACAAACGTTATATTGAGGTAGCAGATAAAATGAGTGTATCATCATATCATTGGTTAGATCCTTGGCTAAAACAGAACTAGTTCCTATTAAATTTTCGCGAAGTAAAACAGTTGAAGCGTCAATTTAGGCGTTGTTACTGGTTGCCAAACATTCATAAACAGTAGACAAATATCATTATTTGAACCTACGCAGTATTTTGATTTTTTTGTTTACATATTTCCCCAATTTTTTAAAAACCTCCCCATTTTCTTCTCGTGTACAATCATAATACAGTGATAAAAAAAACGGTAACTATAACCTTAATAACACAGCTTTATAATTTTAAAAATGTTTAAAGAATGAATATGGAATGTCTTTAATAAATAATTAGTTGTGTTCTTATAACACTTATCATTTTGTAAACAAACCTTCAACTATTAGGACCAACCTACGTGCGGTTTGTAGATGCCACTTATCAACAGTGGTAATATGACTCATAGAGAATAAATTAATATGTATTTAATTAAATAATTATCTGTCCTAGTTAATGTTGTGGCAATATTACAGGTGCATTATCAAGTGCTATGTAAATAGTAGCCAAGGATATCGATTTGTAGGAAAATGTGTATATGTATGACTAGCTTTTGCCCGCGACTCCGTTCGCGTGGAGTAGTGACTTCCTGCAGATTTTTGGTATAAAAACTATCTATCCTATGTCCTTTCTCGAGTTCCAAACTATGTGTCCAAACCAAATTTCACAGAAATAGGTTCAGCAGTTTAGGCGTGAAAGAAAGACAGACAAACAGAGTTAATTTCGCATTTATAATAATAGTTTGGAATATGGAATTTTCACAAATCGAATATTCTATGTGATATACACTTGGACCCGCCCTAGGATTTCTAGCACGAGTCGTCCCGTGCGAGAATTGAACCCGCTACACGTTGCACCACAGACGGTTGCCCAGCAATCGCGTAAAACGTGCAGTAAAAAAAAAGATTTTGTCCACGGGGTTTTTATTATATCATTAAAAAAATATCGAAGTGATTTTTTATGGGCTAGGGTAGCAAACGAGTAGTCGGATTGCCTGATGGTAAGTAACCAGTGTTGCTTGTGGACACTTACAACACCAGAGGAGCTATAAATGCATTGCGACTTTTTTAGGTTGGTAGAAATTTGAGGACTGGTAGTTTTGGGGTTAGGAATGGGTAACCAACCCAATAGAAAAGTGTTGAAGTCAAATCCTCCGCTACCGTAGGTCACTAGTGACCTCCGTAGTGGCCAATGTGTTAATACTGTAATAATTACTAACCTTCTTTCCTCGTACAACACCAGCAACATATGGCTTGATCTCTGGCCGGTCTGGTGTCTCCAGTGCTTGTTTGTTTATGTGTTCTATAAGCTTCTTACGGTTCAGGGGACCTGTAGGGTCCTTCTCACAGTCATAGTTGTTACGTTGTGATGGTGGCAGGAAGTTGTCCTGGAATACATATTATTATAATTATGAGAAGACAGGCTGCAATTGATGGTAAAAATTCAAACTAGTTTAGAATTTTTATTATTTTGTAAATAAGAACAAAAAAAGAGATGTTTACTCAAGCTACTAAATTATCATAAAGTACCTAGAACTTCTTAATTTTTTTGTCATATTATCAAGGTCACACCTACTCACCTCACCTCATAAACAGGTATTATCTTTTAGATTTATACAAAAACAAGATAAGCTTCATTATTTTCCAATACAGGATAAAAATAATCAGAGAATAATGACTGCACCCATTTTAATTTTGTATTATAAAATGATTAATGGCCATATTCAATGAACAGGTAAATAGTTATTTAATTATATTTATTTATTTATTTATTTATTATCTGATAGGTGAGGTGCCATACTAAGTTACTGATAATTTCTATAGGTTGATCAGAATTTAATAATGTCACATTGATACTGTATATACTTTTAGTTACCTTGTACTTAATTAATGGATTAATTTCTTGCAGATACAAGTGTTTTGTTAATTTTGGTGGTTAATCTTTATTTGATAAGGACTTTTTGGTATTGTTGGTTGCTATACTAAAATTGTGTTGATTTTTATCTTGATTTTTGTTATAAATACGAAATATAAGTACTAAAGTGTTTACTAAACATGACATCCCGTCCAATCCTTGGGCCAAAAAAGATTTATGCTTTATCTGTTCAAAATCATACAATATATTATTTTTAAACAATTTTAAGTTTTCTAAACTATATTTGCAGAGTTATTTCACCCAAAGACAACTAAATTAACAGCAATTATTTTCTTCTAAATGGTATTGCTATCTTGCAGACAATACAAAACAATAAAAATAGAAAAACTAAAATATAGAACAATACCTGATACATGGTAAAAATTACAAAATAGAATGTACATATTTAAATTATTTTAAAAGTACTCAAGATAAAGAGAGCAGTGCGAATTGATACCTAAGTAAAATACAGTACTGTTGTATTTTTTATGTTTTAATTGCTCGGCAAATGGCTTAGATGACCCTATGTGGGTTAATTCAACCATTATGTGGTCCATTATTTAAAGGTTATGGTTAACATAATTACTTTTAAATGTGTGTTGTTGAATTTAATGCATTAATTCATGAATAAATGTTTCAGTGAACGTATAAAATGAAATATTTATTTGTGATAAACAGAGATACAGGTTTATGATATTTTGCCTGTGATAGGAACACAAAATAAATGCTTATATACACTAATTTGTATCTAATTGGTATCAATTAAATATTAACAAATGTGAGAATAATGAAAAAATGATCGTTTTTTCAAATTGATATACATTCATATCATTCCACATGTAACCATAATCTATTTGTTCAAGGCAAACAATTTTGATAAAACTTCCAAGGTGAACTGTGAGAAGTCTATGGTTTAACAATGAGCCATGTAATTGTGTGAATGTTAGAAGCATTATCCAACATCTCATAGTATTTGGCCTTCATAATCAATTGGCTGGCCTAATGATGTGAGCTGTGAGAATGTGGGTAGAAAATATTACATGACAAACATACCTATAATTTTATACTGAATATCAGGAAGATTTACACAAGGGAGAAGATCTAGACCTTGTTATGACAAGTCTAGTCAATGTTGATTAAGGTCAATGACTTTCTGATTAGATTTTAACTTTACATGTTACCAACTTCTTTGTTTGTCAATGAATCATATTTCTGATTGTTTTATGAGACATTTTCTGACGAAGACATAATATTATATTATAAGAAAAGGAACAGGGTTTTATAGTTTTGACAGAGTGAATACTTGTAAGAGTACTTACATCTGGATCAACATCCTTGGCCAACATAGTGAGTTCTTCCTGCGACAGCTTAGCTAGCAGCTCGTCGACGTCCACCTCGTCGTAGGCCGACAGGTCTCGTCCATACAGAGTCGCAGGCGTCGTCATCGTAGTAGTTTTTGTCGATGACGATTTCTAAAAACACCGAAACACTTCTTTTACTAAACAATGTTTCACACTCATTTAGGTTATTGTCCAGACAAATAATGCACTGTACAGTAACCCAGACTATTATTATCAATTAAGTTACGTAAGGAACACAATGAAATAGTGAAATTGCAGATAAAACATCAATATTTGACAAGACACTTTCGGCGTTCACCACACCCACAAATTAATTGAATGACGACATTTTTATCACCGTACACAGGTAGATTTTAAAATTAAAGTTTAATTTATATAAATGATACTATCGATGTAAAAAAAAATTGCATCTTCTTACATTTTATACACAAATTAAAACTTTTCAGTAACAATGTTAGAAACAGCTAACGTCACAAGCGCCCTCTTCCAATGACAATTTTACACTAAAGAGAAGTTTAAGTTAGAGCGAGACACATATATAACATTAACAAGCAATCTTTGTTAAGGTTTGAAAGAGATGGAAAATGGTAAAGTGTGGTCATAGGGAAGGGAGTGATGGAAGGAGAAAATAAAACTTTTCGATTCGATACCGGTTTCTTATCAGACCGCTAAACACAGAATAACAAAAAGTATTATAAAGTGTAAAACCTCACTGTGTTGAATTAAAGTAATAAGAGTTATAGTTACATTAGATACCAGACCTGGCACTTGGTGATGGTTTGTAAATCTCATGCATTTTCACAATATCATGCAAACATACGCTTATTAACAGTTGCTCTCGATAATTGCATCATTACAATATTGATTAATGCAATCGTACTACCTGCACTATGTGCAGCATGAAATAATAGTGTTTTGGGTTATGAAATTTCCAATAATAAAATTAACAATTGTTTTTTTTTGTGAGGAGACAAAACCATCAAATATCTTATCTCGACATAGGTGGAACAAGGGGAAATGTCCGGCTATTAAGCTAAAAACCATCTCATTTGTTCTTTTCATAGTGTTTGGATGACTATAACTATAGTCTTTGCGTTCTCTTGCTCCAATCCGGGTGTGAAGTAGATTTTTATTAATTAACTTTGAATAGCGAACTCATGTTCCTAATGTTTAAATGTAATAAGCATAATAATATGCTCGTTGGTAGGTATACTCAGGGCTGATTTTTCAATGGTTAGATAAAAGTTACCAGGGGAATAATTATGAGGCTGTCGCGTCAGAATGTTTGTATAAGACTGTGACAGCAACAATATTATTTCTCAGAAAATTCTCGAAAAATCAGCCCTTAAAATCGTTATCTTTTTTAACCTTTCAATCGTGGTAATCCAAGACAATAGGACAAATCGTAATCGTGCGGTGAACGCCGTCGTTCGCGCACCTCTTGTTTCCGTGAAAAAATAGATATTTACCTACTGTAGCTATATATACCTCGATATATGTATACATATTACCTATGTATGTAGGTAGATACCTTCTATTAAACTGAACTGAATGACTCTCAACATGTCCCCATTGCACTGGAAATCGTTAATCACACATCCAGGTGTATCTCGTGCTACGTATAAAGTGGTGCTGCACACAATCTCATACTTGTCTACACACCTATAACTCATTCTAGGTCTAAAGTCTTTACTAGGAAACATATATATCTATCTGAGTGTCGTAATTCGTACCCAAAATTTACCAAAAAAATATTTGCAATTACATAGGTACCTACATACATACATCGTGTGATGTAGGTACACAACGAATGCGACCAAGTTGTTTCATGACGACTGCGCTAAATATAAGTACTCTCAACTATAATGGAATGATTACGTCACACATTATATGTACTCGCTACTCCAAGCCTATCCCACTAGTTATTGAACTCGCGACCTTTGTAATTATAGTTCTACATTGTGGCGACTGCATTTGTTATGTACATGGTGAACCGGTTGCGACGTTTTGTATTATTTTGATTATGCAACACATTAAATTGGACACTGATAATATCAAGGTCAATTTATGCAAACAATCCACTCGGCGCCTGCTCTGGCATCATCGATCGGTGCAAATTAGTTCTGTCTACTTTATGTATCAGGTATGAATCCGTTCTTGAATCTTAAGAACCTTATAAACTAATATAATTAACAAAAATTTAAGTTTTAATACGGCATGTAGATGCAACTGCAAATAATCAATGATACCTTCGTATGCTAGAAGGTAGCAGTTAGCTTTGAATATTATTTTATCCGACATAATATGAAATTTTGTTAACCATTACCACAACTCTACATAGGTACGTACTTACTGACTAAATTTTTTTGTTACGCAATTAAATACATAGTTACCTAACCAAATAGAACAAGAATAACAATTAAAATCCAGACTAACTTGTTTTTGTATTTAAAAACCGGTACATGATGTGTTATTAATTTATGTATTTAAGTAACCTAATATACGCAGTACCTACCGGTTTAATAGATGTGTACCTACGGCATACAATGGTTTGATTTAGCTATACCTACTGGCTAAGATGCTACATACCTATTTATCGGTTATAAAATATCTATAGATTACATAATAACAGTCCGGTATAGTACCTACTTTTACTAGGCATCGTGGTCATACTAAACTTGTTTATATTATTAATGAATTAGGCTATTATTAGACGTAAGTCAAACATTGATTTCATATTTTGATTCACTTCAAAAGTTAGAGTCACGAAACTGTCGTTTTAAGATCAAGCAATAACATAATAATGTATTTACTGATAGATATGCTTGGAGATAATTATTAGTATTTTAGGGTTAAGGTCTTAAAAGTCACGCTTAAAAATAGAAAGGAAATGTGTTTTGTTATTAAACCCTGAGTGGGCGCATGGCTAAAACATTCAACATCACGTTGTTAAAATATCATCAAAGATTGCTTCGAGGTCTTTTATTCTGAGACCAATAAATTAATTTATTGGCGATAACTACGTTGTTATTGATTGATGATTTCATTATAAGATGGTGAATTAATTTTATAGCTATTAAAGAGGACCAAATTGATAATAAGGAGGTCTTAAATCTACATCGATTCTAGGGCTCTTAGTATTTAGTACCTACCTAAGTTTACCTTCGGTTGCTTCTTTCTCCGTTATTTAATGGATGTTATTATACAAAAATATGAACCTTCCTCTTCACTCACTATATCCATAATTTTTTTTAAAGATTGGGGCATATTTAGTTGTAAAGTGACAGAGAATACGACTTTGTTTCATACTATGTAGTGATGGTGAAACTATAAAGAAGACAGCGAAACAAAGTGAAATTGAGAAGTCGTTTGGTAAGACTTTTGATTTTCATAGATTTTTATTTATGTTGGAAAGTTTTTGACTAAAACCCCTTCCTAATCTCGCTCCTACTCAGGACGCGGTTCTAGGCGGGACATGATTCTACTTGCATATTTTACAACTTAGGTTAGACATCGGATATAGTGGACCTTATAATTCTCTAAGACTCGCATGGAACGCAACGCACCTTGCGCTCCAGGTCTAGTGTTGTTCGAGAGGCGAGATACCCGTGCTCACCGCCATCTATTGACCCGCATTTACGGCCGTCAGAGATTGTTGCGTGTTCCTCGACGCCTGGCGTGACTTTTGCGGCGGCTGAAGCGTAAAGAGGATTCTTTTCCACACGCGCTCCAACTCTTTTTATCGAGTTTAACTGCTTCGCAAAAGGAGACGACGGCTTCCCACTTTCGCTCGGTGTACCAAGGTCTTAGTGTAGCAAAAGCTGAGCATTAGAGGGCGCTCCCACCGATCTCTGTCCTGAGAACACCGCCAAGCTCAACCGAAGCAAGCGAGTCTTCTGGGCGGCCAGGGTTGTGACGACAACTGGGCGTTTCTTAAAGCTGAATTCGTAACAAATCCCACCTGAAACTAGTCCGGTAAGCATCCGTCTTACACGGTAAAACCGTCGTGTGATGCTTCTCTTTGCCCCCTGTTGCCGTGGACCCCTCTTTACTCACACTGCTGCAGAAACAGTGAGCCCGGTCTTCGGTTCGCTTTTCACCGCTAATTGTATGTTTTCATAGTTTCGAAAGGCATTACTATCAACATAGATCGTTTTAAAAACAATAGAGCCATTGTCAGCGTTTGTTCTGAGTCGTTACTAAGTGTACCTACAACAATGCAATTAGCGTTTGTTAGATATTTCTTATTAACTGTTGAAACTAAGAATATTATGAGTGTGTTTGAATAATTCATCAATGGCTATGATTTATATAATTTATTTCCTATGTGATTTTGACAAGTGAACATACGCATTTTAATGCAGTTTATAAACTAAGTAGGGATATCACAACGCAGGAAGACAGTCCGTGTAGTGATTGATCTCAATCGATAAACGTTTGTTCCTGTTGACCACGCGACGCTGCCGACCGCTGGCGTGACGCCAGTCCGCTATAATTGGTGGTCGCTACACCAGAGACAAGCGGTATTCTTAGCAACCCATTCGGCCACTGGCCTTCCAACTGATACAAATGTTATTCCCATGAAAAAACAAATAATAATTTCGTTGGAATTTGCACTTGACCTAGTAGGTACTGGACAGGGATGTCTCGAACAATGCAGCATTTCATTGTGCGAGTTAAGCATTGAAAATTCAGGTTAATAACCTTTTTGTCCTTATAAAAATAAAAATAACGTATGTCAAAATATTGTCAATTGTGAAAGTTTTCTCCGAGTTTCCCAAATGACATGAGGATAAATAATTGAAATAAATCGTAATGGAAAAATTACCGTATGGTCCTCCATACCCTGTGTCTCCATTAATCAGATCTGCCAGGTACGCTTTTCTTTTCGCTGGAATTGTTTACGGCCTTGTAAAACAAAGTAAATACTCGGCTCAAGAAGAAAAATGGCGCGAAGAGGAAGCTAAACGGAAGAAAATTCGTGATAAGCAAAATGCAATTTTGAAAGCAAGAATTGCAAGGGAAGAGAAAGAAACCCTGAAACTTTTAGAATCTGGAAAATTATTTGAAGTTCCCGAGGAAGCTAGGCCTGAGTCTGAGACTGATACTGAATTATCATGTGGCAAGCCAAAAAAGAAAACTTGTCATTGTAATGATTGAAAATAAAGTTATTTTGAGTTTGTGCAAAATGTAGCAAGATTTTTGATTACTTAATAATTTAAAGGTAAGTTTAGGTTTATTTTAGGTAAATTATTATCTTAATAAACTATTTATTCTATTGACTATTCGCCAAAAGGGTATTCATTAATGTATCGATAGGTATATAATATCCTTTCACTGAATCACCTGTAATTTATTTTATGCCGTATGCAGAGACGAGACTATTGCTATTGTTGAGAATTTGCAAGAACTAAAAATTAAATGGGTTTGTTCACTTCGGGGATTAAACCAGAAGCATTTCGCTTCGTAGCAAATACAATGTAAGACCACTCGTCCAATGAGGTTAGCTTTATTTGACTGCACAATTCAGACAAATATTATTTCGAATTTACAAACAGCAAAAAAAATATTTTCATGTACTTCTCCACATATCCACACAATTAACAATGTAAAGCAAACGACTTTCCATGGCGCGAAAGTTTAGGAAAAGCTGTTATCTAGTTTTCACTGATCCATAACACATTCGCGCCATTGTAACTCCACGTGTTGGGTATATTTAACATTCACACGAGATTGCAACACTTTCTACGGATGTCAGTGATGTGATAGACAAGAAAACACGTTTGGCTTTTTACGAGACAAATAGTATCGCATGAGCACACGTCTATGAAGTGTTTTTTTTAAATATTTGATATAAAAGCGCACTTAGTATCTTTATAGGTAGGGCCCGAAGAGTATCACCGTATTTCGATAAGGATGATTTTGTCATAAAAGCATATTTTTACAAATATCGATGGGTACATCCTGTTTTCCAGCAATGTTGTTATGTTTTGCAAACAAGTACCTAGTGCAAGCGAAGCCAACCTTGTTCTTTCCGGTAAATACAAATCACAAAAATAGCTCTTCGTTTACCGGTTGTTGTCGCAGTGCTACCGGTTCTATTGCGTCCATTCATTTTACATTCGCAGTGAAAGTTTTTTTATTGAGTTTAATAGCATAAGATCCTGATGTCTGGTGCACATGGTTAGCATTAAAATGCATGCCATGATATGCCTGATAACATAGCGCAAATTTTACTAAGTATTTATCGAAAAAACAACCTGAATTTCCTTAATATGGAACCTTGTTATTAATGCTAAAACTTCTGTAGGTTGATTTTAGACAATAACGTCTATTATGATGCTATTTAAGTATTTTTTCTCTTCGACTAAAAACTCCCATGAATATGGTTTTTGTCCACGTTGGCCGATTCTTAAAACCCGGTTATAACAAACAGCATATTAATAGACCAAATAAGAACTAACATTTTACCTCCAACAGTATCAGAATCGGAAATTATGCTTGCGGAATCATAAGTATTTCTTTATGCATCGAGCCCTTGTCAGTTTCCTTAATAACGTATTGTAATAAAGACAGTTACTATAACTAATCACTGTTAAGCATTACCAAAATCCAATAAGTGCCTAGATATATAAATATTTTTTTGTATTTGGCTGCAAATGTAAGTTATAGGTAGTCAATCAGCAGTAAGAATTGAATGAATATAATTACAGGAACAATACTGACATTAAAATTAACTTATAAAACAATCATCGTCACGCTTAGATGAACTGATTGCACTGACAAACCTCTGGAAAAATGTAATGACGCCATTTTCCCGCCGTTACTTGTCTGACAGCCTAAGAAGGAAATTCAAGAAACAGAACTCATTAGTGTTATGTCGCAATATCGATCGGGTAGGCTGAGCTCACATGGACACGCGATTGCGTTTTCCTATTACCTAACTGGCGCAATTCGTGCATGAAGTTTTTAAACAGAACCACACATCTACATACTTGGTGTTTGTTTATTTTTATTTCAAGTTTAATTTGTAGTGCTATCATGGGTAGTGTTTTAACAATAAAGCCTATGATTGCTGAGTGAAGTGAGAAGTTTATGAAATAGATTTCTGACGAAATTTTACACCTGCATTCAAAATAAATATTCAAATAATATATGAAATATACAATATTTTAATTTCAAATAAGAACCAGACTAGTATCCAGTGTTGTAAATTACGAAACTAAACAATTTTATTGGTTTGGTTAGAATAGTTTGGTTCCGTAAGTTAGCGGAGACTATTCTCCGCTCCAGATTAAAGACAGGACCAATGACAGATAATAATAATTCAAAATTTATCATAGTGTAACATAATAAATTCTCCCAAGACATGTAAGAATTTTATATTCACGTTCACGATCCGTTTTGATATACATTTTTGTACCATCTATACGGTTTTAATATTTATTTAAATGTTACCGGTTTTTATTTATTAATTTAGGCCAACACTATTTACGGTTCAAGACCTATGACCATTGGCCAATGCCCAGCCAATTAATTTAAACCGAAGATTTTAAACTGTAAATCTGGGAGTCTGGGAGTCAAGTTTTATATTTATTGATGATCAAGTTTTATATATATGAGTTTACTGCAAGTTCATGTGTAAGTTCTACGTCGTGTCGTGTATTTGTTCCCCCTCTAGTTTCCACTTCGATGCGTAACAGCCAGGAAAGGGGATTTAGTTAGAAGGTAAAAAACGAGTCTCTAGTGCAGATAAGTAAAATAAATTAATAACAGTGTAGGTACCTATATCAGGTAAGTACTTAAAAAGATAATTGAATAATTAATTGATAACTTATAATGAATATTCAGTGTGGAAGGGCCATGCTTCGGCACGAATGGGTCGGCTTGACCGGAGTGATACCACGGCCTCACAGAAAACTGGCGTGAAACAACCACAGCGTTGTGTTTCGCCGTGTGAGTGAGGTTACCGGAGGCCCAATCCTTCCCCTCCCCCAATCCCTGAATCTCCAAATCCCTAATCCCTAAAAGGTCGGCAACGCACTCGTAACTCTTCCGTTGCGGGTGTCCATGGGCGGCGCTGATTGCTTACCATCAGGTAATCCGTCTGCTAGTTTGCCGACCTATTACATTAAAAAAAAAAACAAATTCATACCTTCACAGCCTTCACTAATAATAATTAAGTATAACTTTAAGTATCTAGCTATGTAGAGGTAGGTACCTACATTAAGACTATTTGCTTTTAAATTGCGACAGGATTATTAAAACGAGTCTGCTTGTAATTATTAACTCATAAAATGAGAAAATAATTTTATTTACTTACCATCTACAAACCTGCTTAACTTATTGGAAAATAAGTCTAAGTAACCAACCAACTCCAATATATTTTAGACATTTTATTTTGAACGTGGATCAGTTTTCGCGTGTCTGTTGCTGTAGTGATCTGCAATCTGCAGGCAAGCAGATACCTATTTATAATTCCCGTTAGGGAAGAAGTGTATCTTACTTCTCGATTTGGACTGCCGCCGCCATATTTGTATGCACTCGCTGGAACCAGTTCGAGTTAGTTTGTTTTCGCTCTTTTTGCTTGCACACGAAAGTTCCTTCTTAGAATTGCTTACGAGAGTTCTATCTGAGGTTCTATTTTGGATTTAACTTTTTATGTCTCCACTGACTAGGTACTTTTATCATAATTAGATATTATTAGGTATATCTAACTGCAGTACAAAACTATTACTTTTGACAAAGAATATGAGTAAAAAACTGTAGATTAGATGATATAAAGTACCTTGTATTTAATTAGTGTCTACTCCACAGATTACTGTAAACTAGTACAGGTATGGTAATCTGTAGGTTAAGAATACACGTTGGTATTTATTGGCTGTTAATAATCCAGCCATGCATTCTAAACTTTACTTTTGTGATAAAATATAAAGGATTAAAGCAGCTTTTAAATTTCAGTGCCAATAGTTTGATCGAGAGCAGCAGGCGGCAGTCGGCACGCTAAGACTTGCAATTTTTTGCATGACCAATTTCGTGTCCCGTTACTTGCAACCGGTTCTGTTCCACTCTGTGCCATTATTTGCAGCTTTTTGCACATCAGAAAATGTGTCGCAAAAAGAAATTAGTTTAATGGGACTTGGTTTGGTGACTTAGTGACTACCTATTGCATTGTTACCCAAACGTGTTTCATCAAATCAATGCTTATGAGATTACAAAATATTTCAAGTCTATTCGAATTAATTCAGTAAAAGAAATAATAATAAGTAGGTTCCTATGTAAACGACAAAATTTTAGTATTTATGAGAATGTCAAATAGTATTAAATGTGACAAAACAAACTTAGTATACGCTCCGCCAATTACAACACTGTTGCATTTAACGATTCTGCCAGTAGCTTTAGCGACAACCAGTTGCACAAAACGTCACAGTTTTATGACATCAGATGATATATATTATCAACATTGTCAGAAGTGTTGGATATTGGGGTCATAGACGACTTCAGCATTAGGGTTTTGTTTTTCAATATGCTAGGTACAGTATTACACACAGTGCGAAAACCGTTTAGTGTTTAAAACAAAGAAGATAGAACAAATCGATGGATCGCAACCACTTTAAAGATATTTAGGATTTTATTGCTCCAGGGTTTGTTTTGCAAAAATGAAAGTGTTCGTTGATCACGTGTATATAGATACAATACATAAAAAATGCGAAATATGTTAAAAATTTTTGAAAATTTAAATAAAGTAGGTTACTATTAAGTATTGTGTCATCCTCGTGATTGGACTTTATTACTTTACTTACATTTAAATAAAACAAAGAGATACTTAACATTATTATATTTAATGGTATTACCGGTATTGTATAATATATATTATGGCATTGTAATGCTCTGTTTGTTATTAAACTTAAAGTTATGCCAGATTATAAAATATAGTAATATTTGAATAATTAATTGATGAAGAAGAAACTTAGTAAATTAAATTAATTTAAATAAAAATTCAATATTCGATCCAGACATAATTTTTTACTCGATTCCAGGAACGTCTCTAGATAACCTCAATAATATTTAGTAACTAATAATTGTAGCCCTTTCAATAAAACTGAATCAAACCGCTTCCATCGTCAATTAAATCTTTACAACTTTGCAAAGGATGACGA